ACGACCACCCCTCATCACTGTCAAACGCTCCCTAAAACACTTTAGCGAGCAGGCCTTCCTAATTGACCTGGCCCAGGTATCCTGGATGGATATCGATCTCATTCCGTCAGTAGAGGATGCCTGGTTGTTCTTTAAAAGTGCTTTCCTCTCAATCTTAAATAAGCATGCCCCATTAAAAAAATTCAGAACTAAGAACAGATATAGCCCCTGGTTCTCCTCAGACTTGACTGCCCTTGACCAGCACAAAATAATCCTGTGGCATACTACATTAGCATCGAATAGCCCCCACGATATGCAACTTTTCAGGGAAGTTAGGAACCAATATACACAAGCAGTTAGGAAAGCAAAGGCTAGCTTTTTCAAACAGAAATTTCCATCCTGTAGCACTAACTCCAAAAAGTTTTGGGACACTGTAAAGTCCATGGAGAATAAGAGCACCTCCTCCCAGCTGCCCACTGCACTGAGGCTAGGAAACACTATCACCACCGATAAATCTACAATAATCGAGAATTTCAACAAGCATTTTGCTACGGCTGGCCATGCTTTCCACCTGGCTACCACTACCCCGGCCACCAGCTCTACAAATCATCTGGGCTAGACAATCTGGACCCTTTCTTTCTAAAAATAGCCACCGAAATTGTCGCAACCCCTGTTCAACCTCTCTTTCGTAACGTCTGAGATCCCCAGAGATTGGAAAGCTGCCGCGGTTATCCCCCTCGTCAAAGGGGGGTGACACTCTAGATCCAAACTGTTACAGACCTATATCCATCCTGCCCTGCCTTTCGAAAGTTTTTGAAAGCCAAGTTAACAAACAGATCACCGACCATTTCGAATCCCACCGTACCTTCTCCGCTATGCAATCCGGTTTCCGACAATTCTCGGGCCGACTCTTCTCTGTGTATATCAATGATGTCGCTCTTGCTGCTGGTGACTCTCAGATCCACCTCTACGCAGACACCATTTTGTATACGACACCATCATCTGGTCCATCCGTTTTGTCACCAAAGCCCCATATACTACCCACCACTGTGACCTGTACGCTCTTGTTGGCTGGTCCTCACTACATATTCGTTGCCAAAACCACTGGCTCCAGGTCATCTATAAATCACTGCTAGGCCAATCCCCGCATTATCTTAGCTCATTGGTCACCATAGCAACACCCACCCGTAGTCTGCACTCCAGCAGGTATATCTCACTGGTCAACCCCAAAGCCAACACCTCCTTTGGCCGCCATTCCTTCCAGTTCTCTGCTGCCAATGACTGGAACGAACTGCAAAAATCTCTGAAGCTGGAGACTCTGATCTCCCTCACTAACTTTAAGCATCAGTTGTCAGAGCACCTTACTGATCACTGCACCTGTACACAGCCCATCTGAAATTATCCCACCCAACTACCTCATCCCCATATTGTTATTTATTTTGCTCATTTGCACCCCAGTATCTCTATTTGCACATCATCTCTTGCACATCTATCATTCCAGTGTTAATACTAAATTGTAATTATTTTGCACTATGGCCTATTTATTGCCCTACCTCCATAACTTGCTACATTTGCACACACTGTATATATATTTTCTGTTGTATTTTTGACTTAATGTTTTGTTTACCCCATATGTAACTCTGTGTTGTTGTTTTTATCGCACTGCTTTGCTTTATCTTGGCCAGGTCCCAGTTGTAAATGAGAACTTGTTCTCTGGCTTACCTGGTTAAATAAAGGTGAAATAAATAAATTAATAGCTATAGACAGAAGCATACATACTAACTCTCACACAGAGAGATAGAGAGACTGAGGCATACAAATGGCCACTCTCTGTCATTTTTCCATTTTAATACTAATCCCAGTTTAATAGTGATGCGGTGGGCAGTCTTTGGTATATCCGTCCCTATTGAGATGGACTGTCCTGTGTCCTGTGGTCCTCTGTAGCTCAGCTGGTAGAGCACGGCGCTTGTAACGCCAAGGTAGTGGGTTCGATCCCCGGGACCACCCATACACAAAAATGTATGCACGCATGACTGTAAGTCGCTTTGGATAAAAGCGTCTGCTAAATGGCATATTATTATTATTATTATTACTGTATCCAGGCCTGACCCGTTATCCATCACTGACCCGTTATCCAGCCCTGACCGGTTATCCAGCCCTGACCCGTTCTGTTTTACATGTTCTGGCTCAGCTGAAGGATCACCGCATGGTTCTGGAGGGGCGAGCCGAGATGTTCTGGCGCACGCACACTCTGAGGAGGGCTCTGATTGGGCTGCTAGATCACGTGACCCAGGAGAGGATGGCGGATTGGGACCGGGAGCAGCAGGCTCAGGAACACAGTGACAGGTGGGTGTGTTTACCTGGGCCTTACTGCCTTGACCAATAAAACCTGTCCGAGAAACATTACACCTGTCAAAGCCACCTGATCCTGCTGTGTCAGATGCAGACATGCTCCATGTGTAGGACCTGACTGTATGACTGTATAATCGCTTGTTGTTGTTGTTGTTGTTAGGTCTTTCTAAGTTGTTCTGTTTGCTTCCCTCTGTCCCCTCTCTGTCCTGTGTGTGCATGTCTGTCTGTCCCTCTTGGTTTCTGTCCTCTCCGTCCCTGTCCCAGGCGGGTGGTGCGGAGCTGTTTCCAGGCCTGGAGACGGTATCCAGGGTGGCTGCGTGAGGAGAGAGAGAGGGAGACCAGGAGGGAGCAGCTGAGACGCAGAGTGGCAGAGGTCCTCCCTGACTTCCGCTCTTCTCCTCTGGACTGTCCCTGGAAACAAGGCCCTCTGTGACCCACAGGACACACACACACGTACAGTAGACACACACATGTGTACGGTACACTCAAACAGACAGACACAGACAGACAGACAGACAGACAGACAGACAGACAGACAGACAGACAGACAGACAGACAGACAGACAGACAGACAGACAGACAGACAGACAGACAGACAGACAGACAGACAGGCAGGCAGGCAGGCAAAGAGAATACTCACATACAGGAGAAACCAGTGGATAGGACCCAAAACAGATGCTTAAGTTGCTGCTGTAACAAGCACACACATACCAGCTGTTGGTCTACCTTAATAACCTGAGAAAGGTGGATATAACGTTTAATGAAGACATTTTAGAAACCTTTTTGTAACAGCAATGACTCATTTAAAACTGCAGTTAAAATTCAGGTTATTGAATATTTTGTGTATTTTTTAAGTCACACAGTTTGATGCAGTTTGACAGGAGCTTGAAGCCATAAAAAATAAAAAGCATTATGTTATTCATATCACAATAAACAAGTCTCACTGTCCAAGTTGTTTTGCCAGTCTCTGTGCTTTTGTTGTTGTATTCTCTTAAGTCCTGTGTAGCTCAGTTGGTAGAGCATGGCGCCAGGGTTGTGGGTTCGATTCCCACGGGGGACCAGTATGAAAAAAGCATTAAAATGTATGCACTCACTACTGTCAGTCGCTCTGGATAAGAGCGTCTGCTAAATTACTAAAATGTCATGTTTAATGCAACAACACTAATGATCCTGACCAGCCTCAGTCTACAGAGATGTATCAACACGATGCTGTTTGATAAATACCTGTTTCCTTCTGAAGCTCACAGGAACAGTTACACATAAAAATAACATATTGACAACAGCTGTTCCTTTCTCGAGAGGAGTGTTAATCAGTGTTGAAAGGAACGTCTAGGGCCTAGTTTTATTTTGGTCACGTGGTTTGGTCACCTCCCATCAAAGAAAGGCACCTCAACTGAGGAGGGAGAGACAGGATGTTAGAAGGACCCTGGAAAGAGATTGCGGGAGGAGAATGAAGATAGAGAGGGAGCGTGAGACAGATTGATGGAGAGATAGATGGATGAAATGTGCACAGAGCAATTGCAGCACTTGAATGGGAGAAAAGGTCAGGGAGAGAGAGAGAGAGAGAGGTAGAGATGGTGAGATTGAGGCTGTCAGTCAGTAAAGTTAACAGAAGTGGTTGTGTGTTATTGTAGGCTATGGTTCAGCTCAGGGACGGTATTGTAGTGGGCGCTACTTCACAACAGAACCGAACACTGTTACACCTTAACAAAGGCTTGCTGATTTCAGACTGGCTCGGCCTCCCTCCCAGTCCCAGACAGAATAGGGAAGGAGAGGACAGACAGAAAGGGGAGAGGACCAGAAAGGGGAGAGGACAGACAGGTTGGGGAGAGGACAGACAGACAGACAGACAGGGGAGAGGACAGACAGACAGAATAGGTAGGGAGATGACAGACAGACAGACAGACAGACAAGGCAGAAGACGATAAATGGGAGAGCGGGAGATGGCAGTCTGAACAGTCCGAGGTGTGGAGATATGCTACCATCTGGTGGTGAAAGACAGTACAGCAGCACCACATCCTCCAACTCTTGTCCATATCACGGAGCAGGGTGAAGTTGCCCCCCTAGTGTGATCTAAGGTCAGTTTTACGTTCTTCCCCCTAACGGTTAAAGTCAGATTGTATGAGGGTAAGATGACCCTAGATCTGTGGGCAACTTCTACCTGGATCGTCCAATTGATCAATCACTTCTAACGATGCGATGATGATGTTGAGCAGGTCAGCTACACAAGAGGAGAGATCAACAAGGCTTCTGTTTGCGATGAACATGTTGCCAGAGCAACAATTTCAGTTGAACGATTTGAATAAACATTCCAAAATGTTACGGTGAAACTTCAACCAGCTACTTTTTGTAAGGATTACTGTGGCTTTTTAGCGACATTATTCAAACTGAAAATGACTTAGCTACATGGCCACTTGATTGTTTTTAACACAAAACAAATGGAATATGTTAGCTAACGTTAGCCAATGTTCGCAAACTATTTTCCTTGTTGAACGCACCTCAGGTAAGTGAGGCTGGGCCAAGGGGCTTCCGGGCCTTCTCCCAAGGTCAGCTGGGACAAGGGGGCTTCCGGGCCTTCTCCCAAGGTCAGCTGGACAATGGGGCATCCGGGCCTTCTCCCAAGGTCAGCTGGGCCAGGGGGCATCCGGGCCTTCTCCAATGGTCAGCTACACCAGGTCAGTGAGCCTGGGCCAGTGGGCATCCGGGCCTTCTCCCATGGTCAGGAACTCTGCCCAGTTGCCACGGAAACCATGTGAGTAGACTCCTGTGTCGACGACGAGGCCCCAGTAGAGACTGTGGGTGGTCTTGTCTCGGAGGGCGGTGCGCACCTCTCGCTCTGTCACGTTGTAGCTGACGTTGATGAGCTGCAGGACCAGCAGGTGTAGCAGGCCACCCGTCACTATGCAGCTGTACCACGCACAGGTGAAACACAACGCTGAGCTGGAACACACACACACACACACACACACACACACACACACACTGAAAGGAGGACATGACTCATACATTCCTGAAAACAATCTCTGGCCCCTAGGCCAAACCCCCTATTTTTGGAAACCAGATGTGTGTTAACAATGGGCTAAGAGGAGCTTTAATACACAGATTACACCTATCTGGTTTCTACAGATCTGCAAACACCCATGGGGGAGGGAAGAGGCTATACACACATACAAATCTGAGCAACATAACATTTGTTACAGTGCTGAGTGGTAGACAAAATGGCAGTTACAATACACACACATATCACATCAAAACACACATTATCAGCAAACACACACACACACACACACACACACACACATACACATTCACCCTTACACAACAAAAACAGCTGAGCCACAGTAACTGCTCTGTAAATCTGGGTCAGTGGTTGATAAAGTAGTAGGCCTGGTAGGGGGAGATATGACGTTTCTTATAGAAACTGAAATCAACCTACATCAACCTACAACCTATAAATACCCAATTATTCCAAAACATCACAGCTTTAATTGTCCCAGATAAAGAAAAGACTGCTTTGATGCAATTAAAAACCACTTGTTCCCTTATAGAGTTACCAGGGTGAGTGTGTATATATATATATATATATATATATATACAGTCGAAAGTTTACATACACCTTAGCCAAATAAATTTCAACTCAGTCTTTCACAATTCCTGACATTTAATCCTAGTAAGAATTCCCTGTCTTAGGTCAGTTAGGATCACCACTTTATTTTAAGAATGTGAAATGTCAGAATAATAGTAGAGAGAATTATTTATTTCAGCTTTTATTTCTTTCATCACATTCCCAGTGGGTCAGAAGTTTACATACACTCAATTAGTATTTGGTAGCATTGCCTTTAAATTGTTTAACTTGGGTCAAACGTTTTGGGTAGCCTTCCACAAGCTTCCCACAATAAGTTGGGTGAATTTTGGCCCATTCCTCCTGACAGAGCTGGTGTAACTGAGTCAGGTTTGTAGGCCTCCTTGCTCGCACACGCTTTTTCAGTTCTCCCAACAAATGTTCTATAGGATTGAGGTCAGGGCTTTGTGATGGCCACTCCAATACCTTGACTTTGTTGTCCTTATGCCATTTTGCCACAACTTTGGAAGTATGCTTTGGGTCATTGTCCATTTGGAAGACCCATTTGCGACCAAGCTTTAACTTCCAGACTGATGTCTTAAGATGTTGCTTCAATATATCCACATAATTTTCCTTCCTTGTGATGCCATCTATTTTGTGAAGTGCACCAGTCCCTCCTGCAGCAAAGCACCCCCACAGCATGATGCTGCCACCCCCGTGCTTCACGGTTGGGATGGTGTTCTTCGGCTTGCAAGCCTTCCCCTTTTTCCTCCAAACATAACGATGGTCATTATGGCCAAACAGTTCTATTTTTGTTTCATCAGACCAGAGGACATTTCTCCAAAAAGTAAGATCTTTGTCCCCATGTGCAGTTGCAAACCGTAGTCGGGTTTTTTTATGGCGGTTTTGGAGCTGTGGCTTCTTCCTTGCTGAGCGGCCTTTCAGGTTATGTCGATATAGGACTCGTTTTACTGTGGATATAGATACTTTTGTACCGGTTTCCTCCAGCCTCTTCACAAGGTCCGTTCACAGATGAACGTGGTACCTTCAGGCATTTGGAAATTGCTCCTAAGGATGAACCAGATTTTTTTTCTGAGATCATGGCTGATTTCTTTTGATTTTCCCATGATGTCAAGCAGAGGCACTGAGTTTGAAGGTAGGCCTTGAAATACATCCACAGGTACACCTCCAATTGACTCAAATGATGTCAATTAGCCTATCAGAAGCTTCTAAAGCCATTACATCATTTTCCGGAATTTTCCAAGCTGTTTAAAAGGCACAGTCAACTTAGTGTATGTAAACTTCTGACCCACTGGAATTGTGATACAGTGAATTATAAGTGAAATAATCTGTCTGTAAACAATTGTTGTTGGAAAAATTACTTGTGTCATGCACAAAGTAGATGTCCTAACCGACTTGCCAAAACTATAGTTTGTTAACAAGAAATGTGTGGAGTGGTTGAAAAACTAGTTTTAATGACTACAACCTAAGTGTATGTAGACTTCTGACTTCAACTGTGTGTGTGTATATATATATATACATACACACACACACACACACACACACACACACACACACACACAGTATATACAGTACCAGTCAAAAGTTTGGACACACCTACTCATTCAAGGGTTTTTCTTTATTTTTACTATTTTCTACATTGTAGAATAATAGTGAAGACATCAAAACTATGAAATAACACATATAGAATCATGTAGTAACCAAAAAAGTGTTAAAGAAATCAAAATATATTTTTTATTTGAGATTCTTAAAAGTAGCCACCCTTTGCCTTGATGACAGCTTTGCACACTCTTGGCATTCTCTCAACCAACTTCATGAGGAATGCTTTTCCAACAGTCTTGAAGGCGTTCCCACATATGCTGAGCACTTGTTGGCTGCGTTTCCTTCACTCTGCGGTCCAACTCATCCCAAACCATCTCAATTGGGTTGAGGTCAGGTGATTGTGGAGGCCAGGTCATCTGATGCAGCACTCCATCCTTGGTCAAATAGCCCTTACACAGCCTGGAAGTGTGTTTTGGGTCATTGTCCTTTTGAAAAAGAAATGATAATCCCACTAAGCGCAAACCAGATGGGATGGTGTATCGCTGCAGAATGCTGTGGTAGCCATGCTGGTTAAGTGTGCCTTGAATTCTAAATAAAATCACAGACATTGTCATCAGCAAAGCACCATCACACCTCCTCCTCCATGCTTCACGGTGGGAACCACAAATGCGGAGATCATCCGTTCACCTACTCTGCGTCTCACAAAGACAGAAAGGACAGATTTTCACCAGTCTAATGTCCATTGCTCGTGTTTCTTGGCCCAAGCAAGTCTCTTCTTCTTATTGGTGTCCTTTAGTAGTGGTGTCTTTGCAGCAATTTGATCATGAAGGCCTGATTCACGCAGTCTCCTCTGAATAGTTGATGTTGAGATTTGTCTGTTACTTGAACTCTGCGAAGCATTTATTTGGGCTGCAATCTGAGGTGCAGTTAACTCTAATGAACTTATCCTCTGCAGCAGAGGAAACTCTGGGTCTTCCTTTCCTGTGGCGGTCCTCATGAGAGCCAGTTTCATCATAGCGCTTGATGGTTTTTGCGACTGCACTTGAAGAAACTTTAAAAGTTCTTGAAATGTTCCGGATTGACTGACCTTCATGTCTTAAAAGTAATGATGGATTGTCGTTTCTCTTTGCTTATTTGAGCTGTTCTTGCCATAATATGGACTTGGTCTTTTACCAAATAGGGCTATCTTCTGTATACCACCCCTACCTTGTCACAACACAACTGATTGGCTCAAACGCATTAAGAAGGAAATTAAATTCCACAAATGAACTTTTAACAAGGCATACCTGTTAATTGAAATGCATTCCAGGTGACTACCTCATGAAGCTGGTTGAGAGAATACCTAGAGTGTGCAAAGCTGTCATCAAGGCAAAGGGTGGCTATTTGAAGAATCTAAAAAAAAAACGTTTTTGGTTACTACATGATTCCATATGTGTTATTTCATAGTTTTGATGTCTTCACTATTATTCTACAATGTAGAAAATAGTAAAAATAAAGAAAAACCCTTCAATGAGTAGGTGTGTCCAAACTTTTGACTGGTACTGTAAATAACACAATAAAGAAAATCTATTACAGGTCAACATCTAAATATTGCTCCAAGCGTTGATCAAAGCTCAGAACGCTTATATTATTGATCTGACTGTTCTATTGGGGCCTGCCTCTTTGTGAATGATTGGAATCACAAACAATGGTTTAATCGTTATGTTCAACTGAGGTGAATGAACCTACAGCAGCCAAGGTGATAATGGATGGGGTCATTTTGGCTTGTTTTTGCGGTTCTCCAAATAGCATTTTAAAGTTGTTTAAATTGTATACAAATGCAGTTAATGAGTTTCAGCTTTCAAAAAATCCCCCCTTCCGGAACTCACTAAAACTCAAACCCTAGTTACGACCCAGATGCCAGTGGGTATTTTAATCTACACCGCCTCATTTCACAGGCTCATTTTAGCCTCTAATGCCTAATAGTGTGTGTGTGTGTGTGTGTGTATGTGTTACCTATACTGGTCGTAGACGCCTGGGCAGTAGAGCAGAGCGGTGAGAATGTTCTGTTGAGGACACACGCTGCGCAGCACCAGACTGATCCCATACAGAGAGGTCAACAGGAAGAGGAGGAGTGTCAACAGGAAGCTGCGGTGATTGGACTGTCCCACACAGCTGTTTATCCTACCACAGTGGTGACATGACGGACACGACACACACACACACACACACACACACACACAGACACAGACAGCCAATACACTGTACTAAGATCATGGGGTTCCACCACACACAGTACAGCTCTGATTGTAATTTGGATGAGCATCTGCTGCTAAATGACTAGAATGTAAGATGTACTTAGAACCCATGATTACACCAAACACACACATCTAAATAAGTGTTTGAAGATTATTATTTTTTGCACGATTGTGTGTGTTACAGATCAGTGAGTTAAGTGAGTTTCTCAGACACACAGGCCTATGGCTGATGACAGAGACAAGAGAATGTCACTGATAATTGCTTCATAGGTCTGCCATGACACTGCTGAGACATTGCTTTGACATGGTTGTGTACTAAATGACGGAGGTGTTTTAATGGGACCCACCAGACACAGTGGTGGTCCAGCCTCAGGACACAGACGCCACAGATCCTGCAGTGTCCCGCCCTGGGGGGCCGCATAACCCTGCACACAGAGCACCAGTTCCTGCTCCGCCCACTATCCATCTGCTCTACCCCCTGGCCCTGCTGCTCCGACCCACTACCCCGATTGGCTAGCACTACTTCCTGCCCGACCACGTTATGGCCAGGGTCTCTGTCCGGTGGAGGGCTGTGATAGGTCACTGTGCTGTGGATGTCAGCCGGGTGTGGCCGTACGTAGCCGGGCTCTCTCTTGGTGTGGACGAGTGCGGCCAGAGTGAGTGCCACCCCCAGGGTCACTGTGCCCAGCTGGGTCAGCCCTACACCCCCCCTGGGGAAGACCTCGGTGAGGAAGAGGTAGTACATGTAGCCCAGGGAGAACAGCGCCAGGCTGAGGAAGAACAGGGTCCGACCCTTCTTGCGGTGAGTGACGTAGTAGTACCATAGAACCAGGACCGGTAGAGCTGTCAGAACAACCATACCCAACAGGAAGTGAAGGGCTGCGATGTGTAGGAGGACAGGAAGTAGGAGCAGCGGGGGGAGCACAGATAGGTCGACACGCCGGGCTCCGCCCCAGAACCAGGGAACACGGAGGCGGTCGGTCATCACAGTAACCAGATGGGACAGTGAGTCAGCCTTCTGGGGCTCTTTCTTCAGCCATCTGAGGGAGAGAAGCAAACATTCACTTTCTGATGTGATGCCAAACTGGATGAAGAACCATTAGCTAAAAGTGTGAAGGTCACTGGCCGTAGATGGGTAAGCCACTCCCTCACCTGTCACAGGCATCATCCAGGTCCTCACAGTCACAGCAGCAGGCTGCCACATGGTTCCGCCCCCCCTGACGGTCCACATACTCACAGCAGCACAGAGGCTCATCTGGCTCCAACGCCTTATTGGCTCGTTTCTTCATGACGGACAGCCAGTCAGCCTGGAAAGTGTTCAGTCTCCTGTGGGGAACGAGCCATCAGGAAGGGATGGAGATGAGGGGTGAAGGAGAATGAGTAGGTGTGTGTGCGTGTCCTATTCTCATGGCGATGCAGATAGATAGAGATAAATGTGTGGCTGCGACTGGTGAATAATTTTTAGATTGGGAGTTAGTCTAGCCAGCTATCTAAACTTGTAGTAATCATGGCTGAATACTGACTGAAATAATTTTGCCTGCGCTACAGACTGCTATATAGGTCCACTAATACAGGACTAGTAAAGGCCCAGTGCAGTTTTTCAGGGGGTGCTGCTACTACCCGCGGCTAATGGCTTTGTCCAATGAACCATGGTGGAGTTTGTACCTACAAAAAGCCACCATTACTATTTCTCTCTATGAGAGATGTCTTGCAAATGAGGGATGCAAGGGGGGAGGAACTTGTAGGGTGCTTCCGTATTAGCTCTGTGGCATTGGCTGTCATTGAAAATCCTTACCGACTGATTCGAGCGGGAGACGGGAGTGACTCGTTTCTCGGGGGTCTCCAATGCGCCTTTACGCAGAGGTCACTGCTACCGATATGGGCTAGACAGCGGGGCGACAGAATGGTCTGTCTGCCAGCCAGTCCGTGAAGACTGGTGCGTATCAAATGTCACATCAGCTGTGGCATTCGCGAGCCAAGGGAATGGCAAGTGTAGTAAATGCCTTTCCTTCCTCAATTGTTAAAATTTCCTAGAAAATGAAGCCCGTGGATTTATTTCTGAGTTAGCCCAGTGAATAGTTAATACATGAAGACTTTATGTTTTTTCGACTACCAATCGAATGTAGCCTCTCTGAATGCTGTAGCAGACGATTGTCTGCCTTAACCCCTAGATACAATGTCACCGTCTTGAAAGTTGATACAAAGTATCGTTACATGCGTAAAGATTAGCGGTTACCAGTTGACTCTATACTTAACCCTGTCGTTAACTACAGACAACATGTCACGTGTAATGGGAAATAGCATAACCTATCAGAATTCGTGGTTTGCTGCAAGCTAATCATATGGGCTACTTCCTTACAAAAACTGTAGGCTGGGCTACATTAGGAACTGCTTACTGAAATGTCGCGGGCTACATTAGGAACTGTTTACTGAAATGTCGCGGAAATGACAGACTGGCCAGTGGCCACAGTCAACGTTGTTCGCAACAGCACATGCCTAAACATATTTAACTGAATGTAGCCTAGATATGCAACTCAATTAGCCTACCTGCCCAACAGTGTTGTCAATCCAACAAGGTGCAGTATTTGTTGTCGTCTCCCTCCCGACACAAAAGTAATTTCATTGCCTATCCCAGACCGCGCGACACTATTGTGTCGGAAAGCACCGGAACCCTATAGTCGCTCCATTTAACCCTTTCAAAAGGCTGCTCCTCTCCGCTGGTATATTTTGTATTAAGAGGGAGGTCTAAAAATATAACCCCTCCTCCGTCGCTGGGATAATGTAGTCAGGCACGCTTGCCTTTCCTCCTGTTTACAGAGCAGCAGGGTAACTTTCTTTCTCCCTCAGACTTCTGACGTCAACAGAGGGGGTAACCTTTTCCATTGAACTTTTACCAATGTGCATCAAGACATGGTAGGCCTACTGTCTATCAACAATTTTTATTTATTTATTTATTTCACCTTTATTTAACCAGGTAAGCCAGTTGAGAACAAGTTATCATTTACAACTGCGACCTGGCCAAGATAAAGCAAAGCAGTGCGATAAAAACAACAACACAGAGTTACATATGGGGTAAAACAAAACATAAAGTCAAAAAATACAACAGAAAATATATATACAGTGTGTGCAAATGTAGCAAGTTATGGAGGTAAGGCAATAAATAGGCTATAGTGCAAAATAATTACAATTAGTATTAACACTGGAATGATAGATGTGCAAGAGATTATATGTGCAAATAGAGATACTGGGGTGCAAATGAGCAAAATAAATAAGAATATAGGGATGAGGTAGTTGGGTGGGCTAATACCATGTTCAATGAAATAAGCAAACATTAAGCTTATTATAGCCTAACTGTCCAACATATAGGCTATAGGGCAAACTATTTGGGTCCAACGCCAAGTTATTGTTTCTTCAAAGGTCAAAGATCAATTGTTTATAACCTATCAACTGGAGAGCTAAGGCTCCCGTCTGTGACATTAGTGAGGTGTTGCGCTATGGTGGGTTTCCAATTTATCTTGAAGGAAGTAAAGTGGATTGGTTCAGAAGTATTCACTCCCGCTTTAAGTTAAACCACTTGTCTCTTCTGACCGAGTTGATTTCAACAGCCACAATGATACCTATTCATTTTTAAAGACAGTGGGTGTTCTTACACATTAAAGGTAGGTTTAGCAAATGACGTTGCTTCGAGCAGCACCCCAGATATTGAGATGCGCAGATATGGTGTGTGAGCGAAATCTTGCAAGTGCACGTGTTCGCTTCACGCTTTTAGAGCGTGGTAGACAGACAACATGCTGTTTACTTTCTGCGTCTACTTCATATTGCTGAGTCTACCTTTAAGGACTTTAATCAACTACAGTTACGAAATATGCAGCATCAATTGTTTAAATACCACCATGCATGTGCTGACAAAATGATGTAACCCCTAACTCACTCTTGCTCGCTCTCTCACATTCACAAATTTGATTAGTAAATCCCGTTATGTACCCTCCCCAGAGAATGAGTATAAAGGTAGAAAGATGGGTTATGCTGATTGTACAGTCAGAGTGCTTTTAGCCTGCCATACCCTTACCCCACAATACATTGACAAGAATAATGTGGCTGAGAAATGTGGTTTCTTTATTCAAAGCAACAATACATTACATCTTTGTCTAACAAATGTGCAAAATAGCCAACATAATTCAACTTCATATATGGTTAGTGTGGAAAACAAATTATACAGTGTGTTCCCTTTAAACTATTCACATCCCATGGTTTACACTAATGCAATGTAAACAAATCTAACAAAACTATGGAAGAAGATTCCTGTGCAATTATGAAACAATAAGGATGGGTTTTACATACAATATGAAGCTATACCACCACACAATAATGAGTGGTATTTGCTTGAGAAAATTAACATTTGTCATCAACAATAAGAACAAAGCTAACAAGGCACTAGTGTGGATTCAACTCAGAATCCACAGACCAAACTTGTGGTGCTCACATTCTTATAGTGGGTGTACACAAAAGCAGTGAAGTGTTTGAGTGACATGGCTTCCTGAATGGGTTTGTTTTACCATCATGTAGAAGGAATATGAATTACAGAACAGTAACTAACCCTATTAATTTAGCTTACTGTATATGGAACGGGCATCAGGACTTTAACGGAATTAACAAAATGCAATCAGTATTAATATTTGCATGTTTTGGCTCTAACCAATTATTCCTGAGAAAGTTCACCTGGGGGCGTGTTCAGTGGGGTGCAACGTTACAGAACGTTTAGATATAACTATATCATGTAGAACAAACATGCTTCTCCATCATGTAGAATAAGGATTCATGACAGCTTTATAGAAGGCATTTCTATCTACAGCGGTCAGAACGTTGCAATCTTCTAAATACAACCCTGATATTGAGCTCTGCTGTATATTTACAAACCAGCTGCAAAACCACAAACCATCCAAAGATTCATTAAAAACAAATCTGTCAATCAAAAAAAGCATAATTATTCACATTTACACGAGCAGAAACCCACAGCCATCCAAATATTATTAATAAATTACATTCATAAAGTATTTTCTAATTGAACAAATATTTATATTCTAAATAAATCTTAAAACATTTTTTTAAAGTACACAAGGCAGCTGTGCAAAAAGTAAAAATCTTACATGGATTTCTTACATTGGCATTTATTTCTATCACACCATTGGCTCTCATCTGCTGTGATTAGCTTGGCAATGGAAGGGGTACGCAGTGATGCATGCTGGGACTGCAAGGCACATACCGTAGTCCAGAAGAACTTCTATCTTAATCACAGTAACCCCAGAACCAACATTAAGGAAGAATAAAGTACTCCCAAACCAAACTGAAAATAGAACCTCACACAAACCCAAGTCCACTAGTCGACTCCCAGTGTTGGTGATGGTTGGGAACCATTCTCTTCCTCCACAACGCAGGGTCAACAGTTGAACTTAAAAAAACATCCATCCACCTGGGAACACACTATCAAAGGCCCTGGGACTTGTACTGTTGTTGCTCTTAGTAACAAGTAGTCTGTGCATGGGTAGTCCCTATAGCAACACCCCTGCTTGGGAGAGTGAGTCCTCAGAGGCGCATCCCTGTAGCCTTTACGACCCCAGGGTTCATAGGGCGTAGTGAGGTCACCAGGTGTGACGGCGTCACTGAGGCGTTGCTGTCCTATTGGTTACAAAGTTCTGCTGAAGCGCCAACAGAGAGCAGCGGAGCTGTGGAGAAGAGAGGAAGAAAACGGTCAATGACTGTACAGATCCACATGGTGTCATCTGGGAGGCTGTGACAGACACACCAACAGAGCTGCTCGTCTGGCTCACCTGCTCCAGTAGGTTAATGGAGTCCTGCAGCACAGCTTCCAGTAGCAGAGTCTCCTCTCTGGTCCTGTGTGGAGGGGCCGGTCCAGGGCTAAAGTCAGGTGCAAATCTGAGGACGAGACAGGACAAAGTCAACATGACAACAGAGGGAGAGAGAGAGCGAGAGAATTCCTCAACATAGCTCACACCAACCCAATCATGTCAGAGCAGTGATTACTCCAAGGATTAGAGAAGGAAAGGACGCTTCCAAGTCAGGTAAAACTAAGGGGACGTGGCTGACGTGCAAATCAATATTTTATTTGTTCAAATTGTTTAAAATTAGATTAGGGTTAGGGGTTTGCTTAAGGTTAGGTTATAGATTTTGGCTAGTCGGGCTGTCAATGGGATGCTGGTCAGAAAAGACCCCTCAGTCTCTCCCACCTAAGTCTTGGAACATGGCCACAGCCACCCAGAGGAGAGAAGTAAGCGCAGGCTTTCACCCAGTGTGCAGTAGCCTACCTGCTCTCTGTCCTCTCCCGGAGGCGGTTCTTGGTGCTCAGGTACATGCGGGTGGCCACGTCCTCCATGGCCCACAGCTTAAAGAACAGCCCCAGGTTCAGCACTGTTAGGATCAGCAGACTGGGAAGAGAGGAGGCAGTAAGGTTTCTGATTACTTGACCAAGTTCAATAAACACCTGGCTAATATACTGCAAATACACCTTCACACACACGCCTAAATACTGTTCAAATCAAATCACATTTTATTTGTCACATACACGTGTTTAGCGGATGTTATTGCGGGTGTAGCGAAATGCTTGTGCTTCTAGCTCCGACAGTGCAGTAATATCTAACAAGTAGTATCTAACAATTTCACAACATATACCCAATACACACAAATCTAAGTAAGGAATGGAATTTAAGAATATATACATAAATGGACAAGCAACGACAGAGTTGCATGGACTAAGATACAGTAGAATATTATAGAATACAGTATATACACATGAGATGAGTAGTGCAAGATATGTAAACATTATTAAAGTGACTAGTGTTCCATTTCTTAAAGTGGCCAGTGATTTCAACAGGCAGCAATGTGCTGGTGATGGCTATTTAACAGTCTGATGGCCTTGAGATAGAAGCTGTTTTTCAGTCTCTCGGTCCCAGCTTTGATGCACCTGTACTGACCTCGCCTTCTGGATGATAGCGGGGTGAACAGGCAGTGGCTCGGGTGGTTGTCATTTGAGCTCATGGAGCAGAATGTACTCAAACACATACATGCAATAGAAAAGTTGCATGATGATTTACAGTTATGCGCGTTGAGTGTTGACTGGTGGGGTTGACTTACATGACGCTCATCCCAGCTACGATGGTAGAGATGTTCCATTGATGTGGACCCTTCATATCCATGGGATCTGACACACAACCGGGGAGGAGTCATTACAGGAGACACAGCATGAATGGAAGACCGATGACTGTGCATTTTGTAGGTGATCAAGTCATGCAACTGATTACTGAGTGTTTGTATAGTACATGTAATGTTATCTATGTGTGCAGAAGATGGTTGTCCAGGGCTAAATAACAGAAGAACATGCATGTACCCGTGTTGCCCTCTCTGTGAGGGTCCAAGTCGACCCCGTACTGGTTGCTGGGCTTCAGGTGCTCCTGTAGTGTCCGACTGAACGTCCTCCTCCGCCGGTGACGCAGCCCGCCAATCGTCTTACCGGGGTCTCCGCCTCCCTGGTTCAGCTCCGCCTCCTCTTCCATCAGCTCCGATTCTGTGATGACATCATAGGGTCAAAGGAAAAGTCAGGTTAAATGCCTTGGAAGAAGGAGGTGGATAAATGACTAACGTTAGAGGTGGTAAGGGTTATGTAGAGAGGACTGCTGTACAATCTTTGGGGATGGGGAGGGAGAGGGGGTTGTAATCGACATCTCATGAGGAGAGTTGGACTGTCAGTGTGAGTGCAGGGCTTTGATTCAGATCTAATCTGACGAGACTGGAGAGGGTGAGGGTGAGGGAGACTGGTCGTTATACAGTATAGGAGAGTGGGAGATGGACAGAAACCATCAACATACTTAGAGACAGAGCAGGAGTATATTATGGCCAACCCAAAACACTCACAGGCAGAGAGACTCATTGGAGATAGAAAGATGCGCTCTCAGAGGAAGATACTCAGTCAGAGAGATAAGCCAAGCGAGAAGGAGAGACTGACAGATATTCTGAAAGATGGAGGAAGAGAGGAGATCTCCGGGGCTGCAGCAGCCCTGCTACCCACCCAGGTGTCTGAAGTAGTCCTCCAGGCCGCTCCAGGAGTTCTTGGTGATGAAGGACTTGACCAGTCCCCACGGCTGCTTCTTATACTTCACATCAGTGTACACCCTTAACACACAACACCAGCACATCAACTCTATGGTTGTAACTGAATAGTAATCAAATGATCTATATTCAAATTATTTTACATAGGTAATTAGTCACCGCAAACTCTGAAGTACCAAACACAGCTGATTCAGACTGACCAATAACTACCAGGGAGAAGAGAGAACCAACAGTACATAGGCCAGCAATAGGTGGAAGTGAATTTACCTTTCCTAAAGGATATTGGTCTTTGACACACAAAACCCACTGGGCACTCACTGGTTGAATAAACGTTGTTTCCACATCAGTTCAATGAAAGTCAGTTGAACCAACACGGAATAGACATGGAATTGAGATTTGTGCCCAGTGGGGGAACATGTAAAGGCACTTATGCACCGAACAAAGAGACTGACCACAACGAGAAACTGAACCCCAATACCCTGAAAGTCTTCACCCTAAAGTAAACGGAGCTAAGTTTAAATGTCTGAAGGGTGTATTGTCGCTGCTGCTCACCTGAGTCGACACTTGTGTTTGGAGTGGCGGATGATACAGTAGCGGTTCTGAGTGTAGAAGTAGTCGTGGTATGGGACGTCGTGTGTGTAGACTTCTGCGTCGATGAGGTAATACTGACCCTCCCTGGACTCCTTGTACAGGATCTGCCAGGACAACAGAGGAGTTACACACTCTGGAAAACACATTACTCAAAAGACAACACACACACACACACACTACTAGAAACACTCCACACACACCGTGCAGACCTAGGCTCACCTGGTTCTCTGTGGCGGTGGAGAACTTGCCCACCAGAGGGTTGGTGATGGTGATGGTGTAGTTGAGACTCCTCTTCATGGAGCCTGACGCTTCACTCTGCCAGGGGGCAAAGATGGCATCTAAAGACAATCACACATCGGTTAACACAAAACACACACACCTATTATTCTATTTGGTACTACAGTTAAGCACTGAGATGGAAAGGCCTGAATTATTTCACAAACACATTATTTAGAACAGGGATGGTGCCCCCCTTTTGTAGGCCTGCGGATCAACCCCTCCCCCACCACCCAAAATAAAAAAAACTCAGTCGGGGTCTCAACTTAATGTTGAGAGTTAGAATAGTAGAATACATAAGGTGCGATTTTGACATGTGGTTGTGTATCAGCAGTTTCTCTCTTATGTCAGTCACTGACAGTTACTCAATTAGCCCATGTCATTTTATAGATTGGTAAGTTAGTCTAGCCAGCTATCTAAACTTGTAGCAATCATGGTCAAATTACTGACAAGGGGGCCCCCATTAATTTTGTTAGTCACTCGCACTCAGATATCATATTTAAAACTGTAAAATGTATCCATTTACATTTACATTTTTGTCATTTAGCAGACGCTCTTATCCAGAGCAACTTACAGTTAGTTAGTGCATCAATTATTTATTTTTCATACCCCCTGTGGGAATCGAACCCACAACCCTGGCGTTGCAAACGCCATGCTCTATCAACTGAGCTACATCCCTCTGCCACATGGCAAAATGTGTAGAAAAACAGCAAACTTTCTGAAAAACTGCAAATTTTTCTCTCCGCCCCTCCACCATTGCTCAGCAAGGCGGAGGGGCCCTCCCAACAAAATTTCACTTAGGGCCCCCAAAAGGCTCTGACTGCATGTGTGGGTATGCAGACCCAGGAGCCACTGCGGCCCCTCATGATGAGTTCAGATTTTTTGTGGCCCACACCCCCATCAAAGTTGTCCATCCCTGATTTAGACATTACAACAACTCTCAGACAGTCACATTCAAAAGATGGATTACTCATCACAAGCTATCCTAATCAGAGGACTGTGACTTATAACAGGGAGAGTTGAGGACTGTGACATATAACAGGGAGTGTTGAGGACTGTGACATATAACGGAGTGTTGAGGACTGTGACATATAACAGGGAGAGTTGAGGACTGTGACATATAACATGGAGAGTTGAGGACTGTGACATATAACAGGGAGAGTTGAGGACTGTGACATATAACAGGGAGAGTTGAGGACTGTGACATATAACAGGGAGTGTTGAGGACTGTGACATATAACAGGGAGTGTTGAGGACTGTGACATATAACAGGGAGAGTTGAGGACTGTGACATATAACAGGGAGAGTTGAGGACTGTGACATATAACAGGGAGAGTTGAGGACTGTGACATATAACAGGGAGTGTTGAGGACTGTGACATATAACAGGGAGTGTTGAGGACTGTGACATATAACAGGGAGTGTTGAGGACTGTGACATATAACAGGGAGTGTTGAGGACTGTGACATATAACAGGGAGAGTTGAGGACTGTGACATAACAGGGTATGTTGGGACTGTGGCTTATAACAGGGATATAACAGGGAGTGTTGCGGGTGGATGGGGAGATGACTCACTGGTGATCTTCCTGGCATTCATGAATCTTCGTATGAAGTGGGAGTCGGTAAAGAGCAGCTCAAACATCTTCTCTGCGCTGATGTTGAAGACCCTGTTCACATAGAGCCTGCCCTGCTGCTGGGAGAGAGACACTCTCTCCTCTACAGGAGACACAGGGAGAAAGACAGAGAGGGCGGGTTAGCATGATCTCAGAGGAGTGCCCATGAAAACACATCTAAGATGGTGTCAATAGCATCACACAAACAAATACATCTAAGATGGTGTCAATAGCATCACACAAACAAACACATCTAAGATGGTGTCAATAGCATCACACAAACAAACACATACTCTAAAGAAGCAGGCACTTAACAAACACATTTGGGAATCATTCTCACCGTCCTCTGCGCTCTCTGAGCCGCTCTGTTCAGAGAAGTGGTCCAGGTTAGTGTTGAGGTCCAGAGAGAGCTCTGAGCACTTGGAGACCCGCTCCGGGGCAGAGCGGTCCAGGGATGGTTCAGGAGTGCACTGAGACGAGGTGCTCCGAGCATCATCCTGCAGGACACACACAATGGCAATGTCACTCTTTCTGTCACACTGGCTATGGAAGCGTTGCTATGTATGCCATCAATGGGACTCGTCCGTCACTTGCAATATTCATAGACAATGAGTGGCGCAGTGGTCTAAGGCACCGCAGTGCTAACTGTGCCACTAGAGATCCTGGTTCGAATCCAGGCTCTGTCGCAGCCGGCCGCGACCGGGAGACTCATGGGCGGCGCACAATTGGCCCAGTGTCGTCCAGGGTAGGGGAGGGAATGGCCGGCAGGGATGTAGCTCAGTTGATAGAGCATGGCGTTTGCAACGCCAGGGTTGTGGGTTCGATTCCCACGGGGGGCCAGTATAAAAAAATAAATATATATATATATATATATATTCACTAACTGTAAGTCGCTCTGGATAAGAGCGTCTGCTAAATGACTAAAATGTAATGTAAATGTAATGAAGAGACAATATGGAGACAGTATGGCTCTACGGAGATCACTTAATATCATCCAAGCCTTTTGTGTCATTAACATGCCAGGTGTCGTACCACGTTCCTGGAGTTGGCGTTGCTCTGTCCGAGGGGTGAGGTTAGGTCCTCTCCCTGGGGCGTGGTGTGCTCAAAGGAGCCCTGATCCCCTGGCTGGAGGCGCAGAGTAGACGGCCTCTCCAGCCTCCCAGAGTCTTCTCCATTAGGCCTCATGGTCAGGCTGCCAGGGACCAGATGGGGAAACAGGTTGAAGAAATGTGTCAGTCAGACAGATGTAGGTGAGTGCATGCTGTTAACCATGCAGTACCCCATGGAGAGAGAGAGAGTCCTCCTAGTCCTTACCTGGTGTGTGTCTGCATGGTTGATTCTGCTGATCCCTGTAGACTCTCCATTTCTTCATGGCTCAGGCCCAGGTCATTACCATAGTGCTGCTTGACCATCTGCCACAGCTCCAAACTAGTCAGTGGCTAGGAGAGAGGGAGAGAGAGAGAGAGAGAGAGAGAGAGAGAGAGGGGGGGTTTAATTGGGAGGAACGGAGGTTGGTACACAGCAAACAGTGGAGCTTGGATAGATTTTTATTATCATGGAAAAGCAACTGATTTCGTGGTACACAGTTCCATCATCTATCAGATGCTTCTAGGCTACAGCTTGCAAGAGCTCAATCTCAATAGTCAAAATAAAAGTCATGAGGATTCATTCCTCCATCTGGCTTCCTCCAACATAATAACCATTTTCCACCTGTGCATGAATCTCACATCACTTCCAGTCTCAACCAAACAAAACAGCCCTAACCTGCTCCTTACTCAAACACACTGATGTCACAAGAGATCAAAAATCAACGCACTGTAGAGCAGTGCTTAAAAAATTAAAACAATTATATAAAGAACTGATGCAAAGACGATGGCTGCTACCTTGCTCAGTAAAAATTGTAACCTAGAGTTATTGACTAATCTCTACAAAATAGAATGTTTATGGACACCATGACAAACCCCAAAAATTATATACAAAATAAACTTTATGGACGGAAAATAATAAGGAAATGTTTAAATGTAGATAATTTAAAATATATTGAGTTTGTTCAATCGTTCATTACTTATGAGGGGGAAAAAACAATTTAATATGATTGGTTTGCTATGCACAGGGCTGGATTTACGAACAGGCACGCAGGGCACATGCCCGGAGTTCGGAGGCCCCCCCAGATAGCATATAAGCAAGTCATAAGCCATGGCAAAATGTAGAATTACAGGTAATTAGCTTTAAAAAAAGTAGGTGCCAAGGGGTCCCCAAATCTGGCCCTGCCCATGCAATTGAATCCAGTCAAGCAAGCCCCATATAGAACCACGGTTTCTTCAATCCAAATTATGCACAGCTGATCATCACTTAGATGAATAATCAGTCACTTGTTATCAATCAAGTCAAAATAGCCATTTTAAAAGTTGTTTTACTTACTTCTCTGTAGCTATTTTACTCTTCCCTAACAGTTGTGTTCTGGTCGCTGGACTGAACTGTAATAACCTGTACGCTGTCACAAAACAATCAGGAAGTCCTAGCGCCCTCTGCCCGACAATTGGAACACGAGCGCGCCACCCATTGATACAGAGATAGGTAGCCTCGATAACAGCTCTACTGAATGTCAAAACTCTGGTTCAGTGGCAACGAAAATCAGATCGGTTGTTGAATAGCCTCTTTGGGGAGGAGACTGCCCTGAAGAGAACGACTGCCCTGAAGAATGGAGAGGTAATGAAACAACAGATCTTTCCCGAGGGCAGGTTCTGTGTCTAATGCAAATAAACCTTCCTAGCCACACCTTGAGGGGTCATTGAACTTTACCTTCATTCGCTAACTCCCGAGCCACACTAGTGTTATTGTGGAGTTGTTTGCACAGCTTAATTCCCTTGATCCACAGTCTTCCGGGTATTGCACTAGATGGCCATAGAAGTTGCATTCATTCTAGGTGCTAGAATGTTTTATCCCCACTTTGCTAACAAAAGAGCCAGTACATTATAAGAAATTCAGCCATTCTATTCCCCTTATTTACTACAGAATAACTGAATGTTAGGGACATGGGGCCAGTCCGAGGAGCATGGTGTGTACTCAGGACTGCTTAGAGCATTCAGCCAGGGTAAAGTCACAAAAGCCTTGCATACTACATAGGACTCCAGATAGGTTGCATGGAGCTATGATAACCAGATAGTTTCCATGGTGCAGGGTTATCTAGTAGTTGACTTTCTTCATGTCACTGGATCAATGCCATTCCATAGCTGATTACAGGGAACACGTTGCCTTTTAGACACAGAGCCAAGGTCAGTTGAGCTTATTACCATATTATTACCTTGTTAACAAGGGTAGGATTGAGTGAGGGGGAAGAGGATCCTAGATCGGTGCTTAACATAACTCCTACTTATAGAAATGTTTGCTGTCAAGACAACCAAAACCATGGTGACAACAGTGTTGGAAAGGAGGGGACAGTGTGTAACTGGGTGTGGTAGAAAGTCCCGTGTTGAAAGGAGGGGACATTCTGTATCTGGGTGTGGAAGATGTCTGTCACGCCCTGGCTCTGGGACTCTGTTATGTTGAGCCAGGGTGTGTGGTTTCTATGTGTTGTGTGCTAGGGTGATTATCTAGTTCATTTATTTCTGTTGGCCGGTGTGGTTCTCAATCAGAGGCAACGTGTATCAGCTGTTGCTTGTTGTCTCTGATTGGGAACCATACTTAGGCAGCCTGTTTTCCACAGTGTGTTGTGGGATCTTGTTCCGTGTTTGGTTAGTGTCTGTGACCAAGGACGTCACGTATCGTTTTGTTTCTGTAATTAAAAAATAAAGTATGTTCTCATTCCACGCTGCGCATTGGTCCACTGTGTGTAACGATCGTGACAGAAGATCCCACCATAACTGGACCAAGCAGCGTGTCCAGGAGCCAACGCCAGAGAGGGCTCTAAAGGATATCAACCTCGACTGGGTCAAGCCGCGGGAGGAGGAGAGAGGCTGGACTTGGGAGCAGAGGAGCGAGAGTCTGGCGAGAGCCATGGAGGCCTGGCCCACGGGGAGGAGAGACGGCCAGAACATTTTTAGGGGGGGGGGGGGCTCACGCTGTGGACGACGGGGCAGCAGGAGGCCGGGATAGAGTGGTTCAGCGGGTTGGCAAAGGAGGCCGCCAGGTTACGGGAGTCACTGGTCACCAGGGGGAAGGAGAATGTAGAGGCACGGCGAGAGGTACTGGGGTGTGTTGCCAGTCCGGTCCGGCCCGTTCCTGATCCCCGCGTAGGGCCAGTGGTGTGTGTCCCCAGTACGGTCCGGCTTGTTCCTGTCCCTCGCACCGAGCCTGTGGTGCGCGTCGCCAGCCCGGTCCGGCATGTTCCTGCCCCTCGCACCAAGCCAGTGGTGCGCTTCGTCAGCCCGGTTCGGGCCGTCCCTGATCCCCGCACCAAGCCAGTGGTGCGCTTCGTCAGCCCGGTTCGGGCCGTCCCTGCTCCCCGCACCAAGCCTGTGGTGCGCGTCGTCAGCCCGGTCCGGCCTGTTCCTGCTCCCCGCACCAAGCCAGTGGTGCGCTTCGTCAGCCCGGTTCGGCCCGTCCCTGCTCCCCGCACCAAGCCAATGGTGCGCGTCGTCAGCCCGGTCCGGCCTGTTCCTGCTCCCCGCACCAAGCCAATGGTGCGCGTCGTCAGCCCGGTCCGGCCCGTCCCTGCTCTCCGCACCAAGCCTGTGGTGCGCGTCGTCAGTCCGGCACAGCCCGTGCCTGTTCCACCGGTGCCTGGTCCGGCACCGGTCAGCTGCTCCACTCCGGAGCTAGAGCAATCCGCTCCACTAGTGTTCAGTCCAGCTCCGGCCAGCAGGGCCAGACCGGACCAGGGGCGCTTTGGGGGGTTTGTTGGAGGGTGGGGGTCAAGCCCAGAGCCGGAACCGCCTCCGAGGAGGAATGCCCACCCGGCCCTCCCCTGTTCGGTTTATGTTTGCGCGGTCGCAGTCCGCGCCTTTGGGGGGGGGGGGGGGGGGGGGGGGGTACTGTCACGCCCTGGCTCTGGGACTCTGTTATGTTGAGCCAGGGTGTGTGGTTTCTATGTGTTGTGTGCTAGGGTGATTATCTAGTTCATTTGTTTCTATGTTGGCCGGTGTGGTTCTCAATCAGAGGCAACGTGTATCAGCTGTTGCTTGTTGTCTCTGATTGGGAACCATACTTAGGCAGCCTGTTTTCCACAGTGTGTTGTGGGATCTTGTTCCGTGTTTGGTTAGTGTCTTTTGCCAAGGACGTCACGTATTGTTTTGTTCGTGTGATCATTAAAAATAAAAGTATGTTCACTCATCACGCTGCGCATTGGTCCACTTCCTCCAGCGATCGTGACAATGTCCCAGTGTTTTTGACAGCCCTTAATCCATATCCACACCCTGTTCTATCTGGACAGGACAGCCTATGGTATTTCAACATACACAGAACCTTGGACCTGCCATAGCTAACAGTACTTTACACCCAGGGTACGTCCTGAATGGCACAGGGCCTGGGTCAAAAGTAGTGCCCTTTATAGGGAGCCATTTGGGATGCATCCCTAGTGAGTGAGGTGAGATTATATGAGGTCGCTGTCAGTTGATCTGTACCTCACCTTGTCCATCAGCGTGTTCTGCCACATCCGGAACACTCCCTGGTAACTCTTCTCTCTGGCCGAGAAGGAAGTGAAGAACAACTGTAGGGGAGAGAGAGAGATGCTTAAGTTAAAATTCCACCCCAAAACTGGCTGTTTTTCATAACAGCAATCAAGGTTTGAAGATGTATAACTTTCAAAATACAGAAATACAGCCGGTATTATGAATTTTGCATCATATGATGCAAAGCGCAGCATCATATGATGCAAAATGCATCATACCGGCTGTATTTCGAAAGTTATATATCTTGAAAACTTCATTGCTGACATGCAAAACGTTTTGGGACTATATCAACAATGGACTAATGAAACAAATACTAAAATATCGTTATTTAGGTGGAATCTTCCGTTAATATTATTGCAGTGATAACCATCTATTGGTTTGCATTTAGGATAGACAGAAGGGATAAGTAGCACGTTATTTTGTCAGTGCTGCAGCTGTACTCCTGAGCATGAAAAGTTGCTTGAGGGGTTAAACCATGAAAAGCACAGGGTCTCTTAGCTCTGGTCCAGGGCGTTAGTGCAACTGTCCAGGGATATAGAACAGAACCCAGGTGGTGTTTGATTGACTGTACTGTACCTTCTCTGAGTCTGTGCAGATCTGAATGGCATTTGGGATCAGCCTTGCGGTCTTCTCTCTGTACATGGCCTTGATGTCCCTCAGAGTCAAAGCTATCTACGACCAGAGCACACTGATCACATCCTTAACACGACCAGAATCATGCAATATATACACATATTTACGACATATAATTATCCGATTTAGTTAATCAGCTAAACAGAAAACTGTGCCTTTATTTTTCCTTTCCCTCATGTGTGAGCTCACCTTTGTCCCCCAAAACACATTGCTATAGAAACAGAGCCAGTTCTCCGACAGGTAGAGGCGTCCCTGCAGTAGGATGTCTCTCTGGAGGGCACAGGTGTAGTCTGGGGAAAATACACAGGACGCACCGTGAGACAGGTATACACAGACACAGGTAAGGTACAGGTGATAGGGGGGCTGTTTCTGGCTTCTCTTTCTCTCACACACACACACACGACTCACCCATGATGAGTCTCTCTGACTCGGGCAGTTCTTTGAACAACTTCTTGAACTCCTCAACCCTCTGTTTGTAAGTGGGGGCAGGCAGGGCAGGCAGGGCGACCAGACACTGGCCCTGAGGGTCGGACATTGATTGACAGGCCGCAGAAATAACATTAGAATTACATCAAAGCTCATTTGAATACTAATTACTATAGTATGTAAATCTGAAATGTGATAGACTACAAATTGCAAGAGCAAATGTCTTTGGGGTTAACAGAATGTGTTATTTAGCCTATTAAACATACAAACGATGTTTGAAGTGAGAATTAGGCAGGCCTGATGCTGAAAAAGAAAATACATTATTGCCTACTTCACCCACATTTTATTTTTGCAAAAAAAGTAGTGTGTAGTTCCAGTAGTTAGCTACACCACTACATGGCAACAACAACAAAAAAGTATTGAACTACTGAAAACATTACCTAGATTTTAACTTAGTTGAACTACCACCAAGCTACTGCAAAATGTGATTAGATTACTAGTTGAACTACATGTAGTTTTGTCACCAAGTACATCAAGACAATAACTAAATGCAATGAAATTATGTCTGACATAAGTGGTTATCCCACTGGCTATAAGGTGAATGCACCTATTTGTAAGTCGCTCTGGATAAGAGCGTCTGCTAAATGACGTAAATGTAAATGTAAATGTACATAATAGATGGGATAATAGTCAGAATGTAATGTAATGTCCTCTCCACTAGAGGGCAGGAACAGTTGATGAATAACTGGATGTCATGTGGTTTTATGTGTTTTTGAGTGGGGAGAAGGCAGACTTCATGGCATGTTATACTATCACAGGAGGCTGCTGTGGGGAGAACGACTCATAACGGCCCGGAACGGAGCAAATGGAATCAAACACCTGGAAACCATGTGTTTGATGTATTTTAATACAATTACGCTTATTCCGCTCCAGTCATTACCTCGAGCCGGTTCTCCCCAATTAAGGTGACACCAACCTCCTGTGTATACTATGTAGGGGTAAGTGCATAATTGTCACAGACAAGTAAACAGAAGGGCTCCCTGTATCTTACCTCGTGATCCTCAGAGCTCCACCTGTACTCCCCCATGGAGGCTGTCTCGTCTGTGACATCACTACCCACCACTGACCGGGACACCTGGTCCATCAGATCCACTGTTCCGCTGACTGGGTAGAAGAGATAGAGAGGCGTTACAATGATACCTAGTAGCTCCAACAGTCCATGTCATTATAGCAGGACTCCTGGACTGGACTGGGTTTGTTTGTTCATGGCTGGTCTCCACTGAAGAGGGTTAAACTTTGCATACCATGCTAAGAGGTATGAGGATGGAATTGACATCCTATGCAGGTCTTTAGCTTAATCCACTTTTCTGATGAGTGAGAGTGCAAAGAAAGAGACACAACAAAACTGCTTTATCCCGCCCTGCCTGTCACCCAGGAGAAAAATTGTAGTTCACCTAGATTCCTAAAACCAAAGTGACCAAATGAGAAATGTTGTGAGATTATTTAATATCAACAACAGTTATATGAATTGATTTGATACATTCTGAACAGTAATCCCCCCAAAAATCTCACTTTTAATACATATTTATATTCTGCTCTCTCAGGCAAACTTGCCATTTCCATTTTGTTTGCAGTGCATTCAAAAGACTGCACATGAACATCAAACATTTTAGCAGTGCGAATCTCAAGTGATTAACAAGATTGTTTGTGTGATGTCGAAAAAGGAGATGCGTCTTTGCTCGTCCACTGTGTCAAAACTACGTTGGTATAGGGGCCTACATGCCACGTTTAGGTGCTAGTGGGAACAAGGGAACTCTTTAATTTCCGACTTGTTAACTGGTTGTAGTTATACACGTGCCGCGTTCAAACAGTTGGACATTTCCGAGTTTCTTAGTTCCGAGTAGCACGTGAAAGCAGCAATAGTGCGTGATCGCATCATTACCAGGCCAGTTGTCAAATTCCTCATCATCCATCACCATATGTGCTTTCAAGACAAGAGTTTCCGACTTGGAATTGCTAGTTGGATGACAGTTCAAAACATTTTTTCCGAGTCAGAGCGCGTTTTTCCCCCCCGAGTTGTTTTGAACGCGGCACATGTCCGCTCTCCTTCTGCGGGATACAACATCAGTAATAAGCAGGTAAAAGACGGTGCAAATTCATAACCTACCTGGAAATAACACGAGATCTTTATCTTCTGCAGCAAGTCCTATGTGAGTCCGGGATGACGCTTCGTGAAGACGCAGATTCCTGTAAGCATGTCACCACCCGCTCCGTTTGACATCAAATGTCATTCATGCAAAACTAACTCGGTCCTTTCCTTCAGCAATGTGCACCGGTAGGTTCCTTAAATAAATGTGTGGCGTCATAAATAGCCTATATGTGCTGCAAGCCCTTTCACCAGGGAACAGGTGAGACAAGTGGACTGATGCTGCGTTCATAACCAAGTGGGAAGGTGGTATTTACCACATTCGAGTAGGATTGGTGAAAAAAAAGTTGAACGGCCCTTCAACTGGTAATTACTAGTGGGAAACTAGTCTATCATCCCTGAGCTCCGACTTCTCCGACATGTTGAACTCTGACATCACCTACTAAGGAAATTCCCTGGATTACAGCAGTTGAATGCAACAAAATATTACTTATAAAAAGCAATCTATTAATGGTTTGTGAACACTATAATTTGTTCACAAGCATAATAGCTGTACTTTTAGCTTATGGTTGACGTTTGCCATTAGCCAATCAGCATTTCTCAACGAGTTCAACGCATGTGAATGCATCCAACTCCTATTTATCCAGGCTCTGTCGTAGCCGGCCGTGACCGGGAGACCCATGGGGCGGCGCACAATTGGCCCAGCGTCATCTAGGGTAGGGGGAGGGAATGGCCGGCAGGGGATGTAGCTCAGTTCGTAGAGAATGGCGTTTGCAACGCCAGGGTTGTGGGTTCGATTCCCACGGGGGGTATGAAAAAAATATATGCTAAAATGCTAAATGACTAAAATGTAAATGTAATGACTTCACAACTGGTAATTACCACCTTCCCACTTGGCTATGAACATAGCATTTACTTCTCACCTGGCCCAGCCCATAGAGGAAAACACCATGAAGGAGGCACCATGGTCAAGCTTTGCTCATTATTATTTGCATACTTTAACTGGTTGCTGTCGAACAGGTCTAAAAATAGCCATCATTCTCTGTTCTGTTCCACCCTCACAGATAATTCTCTGTTCTGTTCCACCCTCGCAGATCATTCTCTGTTCTGTTCCATCCTCGCAGATCATTCTCTGTTCTGTTCCACCCTCGCAGATCATTCTCTGTTCTGTTCCACCCTCGCAGATCATTCTCTGTTCTGTTCCACCCTCGCAGATCATTCTCTGTTCTGTTCCACCCTCGCAGATCATTCTCTGTTCTGTTCCATCCTCGCAGATCATTCTCTGTTCTGTTCAACCCTCGCAGATCATTCTCTGTTCTGTTCCACCCTCACAGATCATTCTCTGTTCTGTTCCACCCTCACAGATCTTGTTCTAGAAGTTCATTACCAAATCACAGTTCTCTCTACTCCCATATCAAATCATGTTAATTGGCAGGCAGGGGGATGCAATATATCAAGCTTTTATATTTTTAATATGCAAATTCTGAGAATATGATTTATTGTACCTGCCCAACCTAAGACTGAGCCTTCATCGCCTGCATGAGACCTCAAAGGATTTAAAAAATATATATATATTTTTTTTTAGGGGAGATCACATGAACAAAAAAATTGTCCCTCAAATTATTTTTGTTCAGTGCAGCTGTACTGCAAAAAATAAAATAAAAAATCACAGCTCAGTAACTAATCAAAACTATCTAGCTACGTACTTTACAAAATGTCTGCAGTCACTAAAACTAGTCAAGGAGAGGAATGTTGTCTGTAGTTTCACTAGTTGTGTCTGACAAACTGACCTCTTCCACTAAGCACATTCATAGACAGAACTAAAGGGCGGAGTGCCACAGATTCCACACAGGAATCAGAGACATGTTGCAAGACTAGTTCAACCAGCAGCACCAGAAACATATTTTTGTCACTCTCACACACACAGCCTCATACATGACTGCGTCTGTGTATAACAGTGGAGGCTGGTGAAGGGAGGACGGCTCACAATAATGGCTGGAACGGAGCAAATGGAATGGCATCAAACACATGGAAACCATATGTTTGCTGTATTTGATACCATTCCACGCCAGCCATTACCACGAGCTCATCCTTCCCAATTAAGGTGACACCAGCCTCCTGTGGTGGATCACCTGTGTGTTCACTACTATTGTTTGTACGGTACATACATTAGTAGCAACCTGTTGATTACACTCACAGAACATGCAGAGAAGACTGACATTACTGAAACACACACAAACAATACCCACCATTTTGTTTGGTTGCCTTTTATTTTTTGGGACTTGTCACATGAGCAGTAGAAAGGACAGGGCGAGAGAGCCCACCTCTTACACACACACACACACACACACACACGTACAGCAAGTACACAAGACTACACAGCGCAAATCACAAAATATGAACAACCAGCCCACACGTTGTCCATGTCAGACACCTGCAACAAATATAGAGTCACTCTGCTTATTAAGTATTTCATGTTAATCTTCTGTACAGATAGAGGGGTAAAGAATGATAATTACATCAACTGAAGTCTTCAGGTACACAGATCGGGTCAGAGACCATGTCCAAAACAAACAGGGGGAGGGAGGGGCAGTGCAGGGGTTCAGAGTGAGATGTCTCACACACACAGACATGTAAACATACACACATTAAGGTATTGGGGCAGATCTTCGACCATGCTGGGGCAAATACACTGGGGTATTTAGAGTGTGGGAGGCAACAGAATACAAGAATACAGTACATTTCGTTCTCTTCTTGCCCATACACATTCACACACACGTTGGGTAAACTTATGGCATTAGGTTGGGTGTAAACATGAGGCAGTGGAATGTGATGCTGCAGTAGAGGTGGCTGCAGAGAGAGAGGGGGCGACACAGACATGCACTGCCCCTGGGGTCAGGGGTGAAAGGTCCAGGGTGAAGGCTCAGTCTTCCAAGCTGCGGAAGGAGTTCTGCATGTCCTCCAGCAGCTGGGTGTAGTCGGACTTGATCTTGGCCTCTCCCTCCTTCACTGGGTCCTGAAACAGGCCAGACATATATAGTTACACAGAGGCTGTGTCCTAAAACAGGCCAGACATATATAGTTACACAGAGGCTGTGTCCTAAAACAGGCCAGACATATAGTTAGAGGACCACAAAGAGAACATGATACAGACAAATCGTAAGAGAAACACTCAGAGACTCAGCATAGAAAGACACAGAGAGAGATACAGGGGAAAAGCACACACACACACAGAGAGAGAGAAAGACACAGGAGAAAAAGTCAGACTGCTGCTGTACCTTGAACTTCATGGAGCTGAGTCTGTAGAGGATCTCTCCCAGGTGTTCTCGGATCATGGACCAGGTGATCTTGTTGTCGCTCTGAGCCGTGGTCTCCACCGCGTGCCTCGCCATGTCGTAGAACGCTATGATGTTGGACAGGATGCCTACCGTCTTATAGAAGGGACAGAACCTGCAGGGAGAGGTCAGAGGGCAGGGAGTTACAGTTGGAATGAGTTCACAGCCCATCTTTCGGTATTACTCTGAAATATTTGAGTAGGTCAGTGAGAGCAAGTGTGTTTGAGTGAGTCAGTGAGTTACCTGTCGTAGGGGGTGTAACCATTCTGTTGCAGGAAGTCATCCTTGAGGAGCTTGGCCACCTCCAGGGTGATCTTATCTGTTTCGGCCAGCGATGCCTGTCACCAATATTTTGAAGCAGAGGAGACATGGAGATAAAACCTCAGACTATAGGGATGCAGCCCAATGTTGTCCCCGCCTTCTCTTTCTGGCCACCTCCAGGGATGCAGCCCAATGTTGTCCCCGCCTTCTCTTTCTTCCCCCTCCCCTCAGTTCCCCCTCCCCTCAGTTCCCCCTCACCTTGCCGACCAGCTGTACGATCTCAGCCAGGTCTTCCTCCTCCTGCAGGATCTCCTTGGCCTTGGTGCGCAGTGGGACGAACTCAGGGAAGTGCTTGTCGTAGTACTCGTCCAGCGCCCGCGTGTACTTACTGTAGCTGATCAGCCAGTTGACTGACGGGAAGTGCTTCCTCTGGGCCAGCTTCTTATCCAGTCCCCAGAACACCTGAGAGATAGGGAAGGAGGGAGGGAGGGAGAGGGGGGAGGTGAGGGGAGAGGGGGGAGGTGAGGGGAGGGAGGGGAGGGAGAGAGGGGGGGTGTTGGAGGGAGAGAGGGGCGGTGGGTGGGGGGAGGGGATGGTAGGGGGGAGGGGGGGTGCACCCAAGGATGATAATTGAGTCCCTAAAGCTTGTCTTTATTTATTTGCTCCATATGGATGAGTGTGGTCTATCAGTGCCAGACAGAAACAGGGTGTATCCATAGTTACCTGCACGATACCCAGGGTAGCTGATGTCACAGGATCAGAGAAGTCACCACCAGGGGGAGACACACTGAGGAAAGGAAACAGAACATCAGTAACATATGGTTATAACGTTATAAGAAGCACTCCACTTCCGCCTATTCCAGTGTGGCTAGATTGTGTTGGCAGGTTTCTGAGGTCTACTGGAGAGTTGAGAGGAACAAGGGCTCCCCCGTGTGGTGAAAAGCTGTAACTGTACTCACGCCCCTACAATGCTGACACTGCCCTCTCTCTCTGGGTTGCCCAGACACTTCACCCTGCCAGCACGCTCGTAGAATGACGCCAGACGGGCACCCAGGTAGGCTGGGTAACCACTGTCTGTGGAGACAAAACAGGCCTTTATTTTATATGTTCCAAATAACCGATTTAAGCCTAATTCACCCCACTAGCCCTAGAAGATGTCCTATACATTGCCTTAAAAAGGTAACTATTTTGTATTTTGGGTGTTACCAGCAGCCACTCACCAGCGGGCATCTCAGCCAGTCGACCAGAGATCTCCCTGAGAGCCTCAGCCCATCGTGAGGTGGAATCAGCCATCATGCTCACATTGTAGCCCATGTCCCTGAAGTATTCAGACAGCGTAATGCCTGCAGACACACACAGAGGACAAGTAGGTGATTGGTTAGGGGGTGTGCTCCATGTTGTGGTCTCAGGCCTGTCATTGGCTGGGAGGTTTGCTGTGTTATGCTCTGGGCCCTGTGATTGGTTCTTACCTGTGTAGATAGAGGCCTCTCTCGCAGCCACAGGCATGTTGGAGGTGTTGGCCACCAGTGCTGTTCTCTTCATGATGCTCTCAGTCTTCCCATCCACCTCCATGGTCAGCTATTGGACAGACACAACTGTCAATCATCCTGACCTCTAATAAGAAACAGGCTAATGATGATGATCATGATAATCCAATGACATAACACCACCCACCTCGGGGAAATCTCGCAGAACTTCTGACATCTCGTTCCCTCGCTCCCCACAGCCTACGTAGACAATGACATCACTGTTGGAGTATTTTGACAGGGACTGGGAGATGACAGTTTTACCACAGCCAAAGGCTCCGGGGATGGCTGTGGTTCCTCCCTGGACACACCTGGACACAGAGACAGACAGGTAGAACAGACCAGGGGCAGAGAGATGGAAGCAGAGGTTGAGTATATTGGCAGATTCAAATAAGACTTTCTAATTGAGTTTCCTTGTAGCAGAATAGTGAAGACTGATGGACAGAAAGACATTCTGATAGTGTCCTTCAAGCAAAGAGGGACAGGTGGAGAAAGAGGGAGAGTGGTAAGAGAGAGTTTCCTTGAAGTAGAGACAGAGAGATGGAGAAAGGTGAGGGAAGGATTGATGGAACAGTGGGGTAAGAGAGAGGGGACTCACGGGAAGAGGGCGTCCAGTACTCTCTGTCCGGTCAGCAGTGGGTGATTGGCGGGTAGCTTCTCTGTGACCGGACGAATCTGTCGCACTGGCCAGACCTGGACCATGGTGAACTTCTCCTTCATACCCTCAAACTCCAGCTCCAACACCACGTCCTGAAACACACACACACAGTCTTAATACATTAATGACCCCACATGTATTACTATAGATTTAGACATGGTTGGATGGTGGAACTAACTAACCGAGACGTCATAGTTTCCGGGGGGAGCCACATAGGTGACGGTTCCTCTGTTCCTCGGGGGCAGCATGATCTTGTGCTTGATGAGGGAGTTCTCAAACACCATCCCGTAGATATCACCCCCTGTGATGTGACTGCCCACCTAAGAGAGAGGGGGGAGATAAGGGGTTAATGGTTATCAATTAAAACTTTAACATTAAAGCTAGAATCCTTAGTTGCTACATCAATTTTTGGATTTATAGATTAACGATATATATCCATTGATTCTTGAAGAATATAACTTGCGTCATGAGCTTAGTTCAACTGTCGTACCCCATCAGAACCCAAATATAAGCTTGATTTACCCCAATGTTAGTAAACAATGTAAGCAAACACTATATAGCCTCAAAACATGGTTAAAACTACCATTTTTATATCATGGATGGTCAGTCCTTGCATCCATAGCTCAGTCTATGAATTTGAGAGTGGTTACATTTCTCCAGGCCCATCCCTCAGCTTTCTCCCAAAATAGAGGCAGGGTTACCGCTTCGTAAACCACGCAAACACTTTTCTTAAAACATTGACAGAGTAGTAGGACACACTCACCCGTAAGCTCTTGACGGGGGAGAACTCCCATTTGAGGTCTCGGTTGAGGGCTCCGATGTTGACTCCGCGGGGGATGTAGATGCTCTGTGTTAGGTCGTTGATGTCCTTTAGGGGGCGCTGGATACCGTCAAAGATGGAGCCCATGATGCCTGGGCCCAGCTCCACAGACAGAGGCTTCCCCGTCCGCAGCACTGGGTCCCCAACAGACACACCCGCTGTGCCAATGCTCAGGAACACATTCACAGTGTGTGTGTGTGTGTGTTTCAGTAGATTTAAGTCTTCTCTTCATGTGTCTGAGTGTTATCAAGAGGTTGCTACGGTGTATAATATATATACATGTGTTCAGTAATGAACACTAAGGTGATTGTATAAATATATAGTAAGGGGTTGGAACCTGTAAACTACTAAATATTTTAAGGAACAGAATCAGAACCGCAAATGAAAGTGATCTATACTGTTCCGGAACAGAACTGTTATTTTATAATCATGGGAACCAGTTAATAACGTTATTTTACATTCCAGGCATTTTTTTCTTCTGTCCCACTAAATACGCTGCAAAGGGACTATGCAAAGCCCTCACCCTCAAACGTATTACAGTGTCTGCCTGCTAGAAAATCTTTGCCAGTATGTGTGCCAGGGGTTTCCATTAGGAAAATGTGGCACCAGACAACATGACCGGGAAGATTTGAATATACCGGACATCCATATGCATTCAGATTCGACCTGGTGCAGCCAGCGCCATCAATAAACGAGGGATATTGGCCAAATGAGCTACATTTACGTGTCCTTAAAAACCACCTATAACAAAAACACAATTTCTTGTGCTTCAATGTGCAGAATATGAAAAACTTTATTCTCTCCCTCTCTCTCTCTCTCTCGTCAGATATTTTTTGGGGGGTTCTAACTGCTTCAGAAATGTATTTTGCTGGTCAGAACAGTGGAACGGAACAACAACAAACAATGTTTCTGTTCAGAACTAAACGATTGGAAAATAATCTTGGTTCCAACCCCTGATACACACAGGTGCAGTCATGTACACACAGGCATACCACTTTATGTACCGGGAGAACACAGACACAGTCAGGTACAGTAAAGCTTGCATCCCAAATGGTCAAAAGTAGTGCCCTATGTAAGAAATAGGATGCCATTTGGGACGCAACCAGTCAGGTGCATTAACAGTGCAATATCACCCGTTAGGATACATGTCTCCTCGTAGACCTGGATGGTGGCCATGTCTCCCTCCAGCCTGATGATCTCGCCCACCAGCTCACTGTGGCCCACTCTCACCAGCTCATACATGGCCGCTCCAGCCATGGCAGTGGCCGTCACCACTACAGCACAGCCAGGGGACAACACAGGTCAGAGGTCACACACCAGGCAGACACATGCAAGAGAGACGGATCTCTAGTCCAAACTCAACGCCAGATTGGTGTAAACAGATTAGTGCCAAGCCTCCTATCGCCTAGACTACTACCAGAGGGATAACTGAGGCTTTTACCAAAGCATCTCTTCTTCAGCTAGCCTAAAACCTTTAGAGTCTAAACAGAGGCACATGAGACATAGGTGAATGTGTGTGGCGCAGTGGTCTAAGGCACTGCATCGCAGTGCTAGCTGTGCCACTAGAGATCCTGGTTCGAATCCAGGCTGCAACCGGGAGACCCATGGGGCGGCGCACAATTGGCCCAGCGTCGTCTAGGGTAGGGGAGGGAATGGCCGGCAGGGATGTAGCTCAGTTGGTAGAGCATGGCGTTTGCAACGCCAGGGTTGTGGGTTCGATTCCCACGGGGGGTATGAATAAAAAAAATAATATGCACTAACTAACTGTAAGTGGCTCTGGATAAGAGCGTCTGCTAAATGTAAATGATAGTGACCTGGGCCGGAGACTCCATGGACGTATCCAAACTCGCTCTCCTTCTCCTCATCCTGGATTTTAGGCAGCTTGGACAGGTCCATCCTGGCAGGCTAGATCTGAAAGAAATAATAATGGAGTGAATGTGTGAATGAGAGTGATAAAGGGAGAGAGAAGAGACAGAATGACTTTAATCTGGGAAGAATGGTGCACAGTTCACGGTTTAACACCATAGTGCTGGTACTGCTGGGACACTATAGGCGGGTTGGTTGTTCAGCAACAAAACCATCGCGTGCGAAACTATGGAGCAAAACAGACGGGTTGGCTTAGATTGTTGACAACATGTAAACTATATTTAGTTTCCATTGTTTATTGAAAATAAATACATTTTCTAAACGGTTCACTGATATGGATGAAAATACCCTCAAATTAAAGCTGACATTCTGCATTTTAAACTCATAGTCATTGTATCATTTCAAATCCAAAGTACAAAGCCAAAACATTTGTCACTAGCTAGGTTTCCATCCAATTGGCATTATCCCACCAGTGGTATGTTTCCACCAAATGGACTTTTTGTGGATAAAAATCAGTGTGTGATGACGTAGTGCACACAAAATGAACTTTTCACTTAGATTTTTATTTGGTAAATGAAAACCTAAAGTTCAATGTGTTTCCATCTCTACCTATAGTTGTCACAAAAACTGTTACGTTAAATAGCAAATGTGCCTACTCTGGTCTTGGCACGTGCTCTCTAGCCAACAGCTCCCAGATACAGTGTGGGTAGGCTAGTCTACATGATGACATTATTATGATGAGAATCTTTTATTTGTCAAACGGCAGTCAAGCATAGATCATCACGTCACCAGAATAAGACCCTCAATATTTATTGGAAAGCAGCATCAAACTCATCACCGTGCACTTTCACCACCCTGTGAATTTCATCATAACTTATTTAATCTGTTGCCTAATAAACTGCATGGTTTCCCGAGTCGCGTGACTCCAAATTTACTTCGATATGATGGTTATTATATCAATATCAGGACCCAGCCTCTGTGTAACTCTATATGTCTGACGCACAAAATCCACCCACCCATCCATTCTGAATCTGTTCAAAGTAGCTTGCTAACCCTCCCCAACACTAAAGACATACACACACTAACAGAGTAGGCCAATAACTAAACCATGATTACACACAGACAAATTCCCTCCCACACATAGGCTTAAAATTAAGCTTTCTGCAATGGTGAGAGGGAATATCACACATATAGCACACTATCGGGAAACAGTCTGTACACCCAGATCCCTGTCTCTCTGTTCTGTTACCATGGCAATATCACCCCTTTCCCGAACCGTAACCATGGTGACATCCCAGTGACTAGAGCCCAACATCACGACTTGGCATCTCTCTCTCTGGGGGGCTGCTAACGCTACGGTGGCTAACGCTATGGTGCTGCTGCATCTATACTGCTGGGGTTTAACAACCCCTCATCACCCACCCTGTCTGTAGACACACATACCCACAATCCCTGCTTCAGTGCCCTTTTGTCCTTGCCACAGATAGGGCCTTTCTGCCATGCTAGACTGGCTATGTTATCTGTGTAGAAATACAGAATCCCCCCCCCCCCAACAGATCTAGTCTGGAGCAGCAGGATACAGACCTAAGGATGTGGCATCCGTGGCCAAGCTTAGCTTACATGGCATTTGTACCTCCACTGAGATGACTAAAACAATGCAAAAACATCCTTTCTTTATCAAGAGCACAATTCTTCCCTTTCTCTTGAATGTTTTATTCCCTCTGGATCATATCAGGTGCAAAATACGTTGTAAAACAGAACAGACATGCATACATAAGTGCATGTATACACACACTGACTGAGACACACACTTGGACAGAATTAAATCATTTCCATTGTGATTTTGTCATAGAGACTCATAGGGTGGAATATATGCATGAGGCGTCACATGACTGTGGAACATGGCTGGCTGAGTTATATGGGCCGTTTGAGGAAGTGGAAAATCCTAGTGTGGGGTAGGATTGGGAAGTCAACTAAATGAGTGTCTTTGTGGATTGTATGAGATTCAGACACACTGATTCACAACACTCTGGTTTTTAAAACGCTAGAGGATTAAATCCATATCCCTTGACAGTGAGCATACCTACCAAGCTCAGCAATCTCTAGTACGATGCAGGCAGAAGTTGCCCTTAAAAACAGATCAGGGATCAGTTTACTCTCCCCAAAGTCCCTACCTATATGGGGAAATAAAGCACAAAACTGACCAGATCAATATCAGGGATAGTGGAAGGGTCCGTGCTATTCGGAATCATTGAGACGTCCCTACCCCATTGAAGTTTACATTTAAAATGAGGTCCGGGTCTCTCCAGTGAGGGTAACCAGTGACCAAACACAAAGGAGCTTTAGCCTAATAAAATAATGTCCCATTCAGCATAATCTGTCTCATAATGAAACTAGAGCGAGTGCTGGTTCCAAGGTGTTGCATAATCCTGCAAACCCAACGGCTCACATTTAACTTCCTGTTCAAGTTTTCAAATGTAATGAAATAGTGCTAATTTACTCAGTCAGTGCATCCCAAATTGACACAATGGATTCACATATTCACTAACAACCACCCTTCCCCTAGAGTACAATGAGGAAGGCAAGCACTGAAGAGCGGGAGAAGGCCTACAGTACAGGCTGAGGTTCTAGGGCAGGGGTAGAATATCATTATAATAATTAGTACACTGCAAATTGACCACAAGGAAGCCCAAAAATAGGTTATATTTGAACACGAGACACGATCACATACAGTGCCTTTGGAAAGTATTCGGACCCCTTGACTTTTTCCACATTTTGTTACGTTACAGCCTTATTCTCCAATGTATTAAATAAATAAAAATACTCAGCAATCTACACACAATACCCCATAATGACAAAGCGAAAACAGGTTTAGAAATGTTTGAAAATGTATTTAAAAAAAACAACAGATACCTTATTTATTTAAGTATTCAGACCCTTTGCTATGAGACACGAAATTGAGCTCAGGTGCATCCTGTTTCCATTGATCATTCTTGAGATGTTTCTACAACTTGGAGTCCACCTGTGGTAAATTAATTTGATTGGACATGATTTGGAAAGGCTCACACCTGTCTATATAAAGGTCCCACAGTTGACAGTGCAAAAAGCAAGCCATGAGGTGGAAGGAATTGTCCGTAGAGCTCAGAGACATGATTGTGTCGAGGCACAGATCTGGGGAAGGGTACCAAAAGAGTTCATCTAGAATTCATCTGTGGAGATGGGAGAACCATCTCTGCAGCACTCCACCAAATCAGGCCTTTATGGTAGAGTGGCCAGACGGAAGCCACTCGTCAGTAAGGCACATGACAGCCCGCTTGGCGTTTGCCAAAAGGCAAATGAGAAACAAGAGTCTCTGGTCTGATGAAACCAAGATTTAACTCTTTGGCCTGAATGCCAAGCGTCACGTCTGGAGGAAACCTGGCACAATCCCTACGGTGAAGCATTGTGATGGCAACATGGGGATGTATTTCAGCGGCATGGACTAGGAGACTACTCAGGATCGAGGCAAAGCTGAACGGAGTAAAGTACAGAGAGATCCTTGATGAAAACCTGCTCCAGAGCGCTCAGGACCTCAGACTGGGGCGAAAGTTGACCTTCCAACAGGACAACAACCCTAAGCACACAGCCAAGGCAACGCATGAGTGGCTTCGGGACAAGTCTCTGAATGTCCTTGAGTGGCCCAGCAAGAGCCCGGACTTGAACCCAATCTAACATCTCTGGAGAGACCTGAAAATAGCTGTGCAGCGATGCTCCCCATCCAACATGACAGAGCTTGAGAGGATCTGCAGAGAAGAATGGGAGAAACTCCCCAAATACAGGTGTGCCAAACTTGTAACGTCATACCCAAGACGACTCGAGGCTGTAATCGCTGCCAAAGGTGAATACTTATGTAAATGTGATGTAGTTTTTTTTTTAATAAGCAACAATTTCTAAAAACCTGTTTTTGCTTTGTCACTATGTCTTCTTGGGTGTTATGTGTGGGGGTGCTTTTAAGAAGGCACACCTGTTAATTGAAATGCATTCCAGGTGACTACCTCATGAAGCTGGTTGAGAGAATTCCAAGAGTGTGCAAAGCTGTCATCAAGGCAAAGGGTGGCTATTTGAAGAATCTCAAATATAAAATATATTTTGATTTATTTAACACTTTTTTGGTTACTACATGATTCCATATGTTATTTCATAGTTTTGATGTCTTCACTATTATTCTACAATGTAGAAAATAGTAAAAATAAAGAAAAACCCTTGAATGAGTAGGTGTGTCCAAACTTTTGACTGGTAGTGTGTGTGTGTGTGTGTGTGTGTGTGTGTATACATAATTTGGGGTGTCGACCCCTGTTCTAGGGGCTGGGAGTTGAAGTAGCCCACAAAATAACTGCTTGGCCCCTCCTTTACACCCTGTTCACCAACGACTGCGTGGCCGTGTACGACTCCAACACCATCATTAAGTTTGCTGACGACACGCCAGTGGTAGGCCTGATCACCGACGATGATGAGACCGCCTACAAGGAGGAGGTCAGAGACCTGGTAGTGTGTTGCCAGGCCAACAATCTCTCCCTCAACGTCACCAAGAAAGGAGCTAATCGTGGACTACAGGAAATGGAGGGCCGAGCACACACCCATTCACATCGACAGGGCTGTAGTGGAGCGGGTCGAGAGCTTCAAGTTTCTCGGTGTCCACATCACTAAGGATCTGTCATGGTCCACACACACACACACCAACACAGTCGTGAAGAGGGCACGACAACGCCTCTTCCCTCTCAGGAGGCTGAAAAGATTTGGCATGGGCCCTGAGATCCTCAAAAAGTTATACAGCTACACCATTGAGAGCATCTTAAATGGCTCCATCCCCACTTGGTATGGAAACTGCTTGGTATCCGACCGCAAGGTTCTACAGAGGGTAGTGCGGACAGCCCAGAACATCACTGGGGCCGAGCTCCCTGCCACCCTGGACCTCTATACCAGGCGGTGTCAGAGGAAGGCCCTAAAAATGGTCAAAGACTCCAGCCACCCAAGTCAGACTGTTCTCTCTGCTACCGCATGGCAAGTGGTATTGATACACTAAGTCTGGAACTAACAGGACCCTGAACAGTGTCTACCCCCAAGCCATAAGACTGCTAAATAGTTAGTTAAATAGTTAACCACACAGCTACCCGGACTAAATGCATTGATTGTTTTTGCACTAACTTTGACTCATCACATACACTGCTGCTACGGTTTATTCTGTCCTGTTGCTTAGTCACTTTATCCCTAGTTATAAACTGGGTGGTTTGAGCCCTGAATTCTGATATCAGACCGTATACCACGGGTATGACAAAATATTTATTTTTACTGCTCTAATTACGTTGGTAACAAGTTTATAATAGCAATAAGGCACCTCAGGGGTTTGTGGTATATGGCCAATATACCACGGCTAAGGGCTGTGTCCAGGCACTCTGCGATGCGTCATGCATAAGAACAGCCCTTAGTCGTGGTATATTGGCCATATACCCTAAGTGTATACCACACCCCCTTGTGCCTTATTGCTTAATTATATGTCCATATCTACCTCAATTACCTCTTACCCCTGCACATCGACTCAGTACTGGTACCCTGTGTATATAGCCAAGTTACCGTTACTCATTGTGTATTTATTCGAACTATTTTCTTTGTCTGCATTGTTGGGAAAGGCCCGTAAGCATTTCACTGTTAGTCTACACCTGTTGTTTTTCTAAGCATGTGACAAATACAATTTGATAACAATGTAAAATATTTATGGGTTACATTTCAGGCTGGAAGTGGAAGCAGTGATGAGTACTATGCTGCTCACTGCTGTCCCTGTGAGGAGAAAATGCCCCCAAGGGCAAGTTCAGGATCAAGTTCTCCTTTCTCAGTCCTAATATTGAGCCAAAGAGCTGCAACTAAAACTGGTCCTGAATCAACACTTAGGGAAAACCTGTTACTGTTATCTTTTTAACTAGCTGTTCTTTTTAACTATTCTATTATTTGTTGTCAAAGATAGAAGACACAAAGGGTAGACCTTATTCTCAATATTCCTGTGGCTTCCTTTCCCTTCCTTGTTTTGTGTTCTTCATTGAATACTGCACTATACAAGTGAAAGAAAATCCCTCGGTGGGATTCCACAATATTGCTTTAACCTATCCTTACTCAGATCTCAGATCAGTGCAGATGAAGAAGAAGGGAAGAGGATGTGAACTGACATGATTGAGATACACCCAAACAGGTCCTATCCTATGAGCAGACACTTCTGATGAGAAATTCAACATCCAAGTGAGGATGTGGTGGGGCTGTGGCAGGTGCACAGAGTCCTAATGCGCTTGTGCTAATTGCAGTGAATTATTCTTCCTCAGTCAAACAGAATCATCCTCATGTGCCACTGTCACACTAGCCTATGTCACTAGGAGCAAACCAACGGAGTAGGAGCCGCTTGAGAATAATAAATGATTTTTTTTGGTTTAATTTACAATACCACATGGCCCTCTCTGCATGTGTAGTAGGGCTACTAGTCTCCCTTTTATCTCAGCTTCATTGGCCCAAAGTACTGGGTCTGCTGGTAAATCATCTGAGATTAAGGTAGCCCAATAATGGACTAAAGGAGCCTATCGTTACTCCTTATAGTCCAAGGACCTTACATGTTCTGTTTAGAGGTGAATTGGCCCTGGAAGCCAATGGCCAAATAATCCATCTAAACGTGAATTGATTCTCAATTGCGGTGCAATTCAAGAAAAACAAATCCCTCTACTTTCATATCACATCAAAATAATTTCACAAATGCAAAATACACACTTACTGTATACTGTTTTAACCGGTTTTAACAGTTGCAGCCGACAGTATTTTTCAGTGACAACAGGTTTGTGGTGTCTGTCTTCCGTTTACACACAGATGTTAATAATTAATAATGAATTAATAATAATAATTAGTCATTCAGCAGACTAACACCCAGGTGTTCGTAGACACAGATAGCTAATTAGCACAGGTAGTCCACTAGGTATTCCATCTGTTTTCCATAAACAAGCACTGTAACATGGAAATATTGACGTGTGGGAACCCTATAAAAAGGTGCGTATCAATTTAACCTTTTGTTTTTCTACAATTATTTCTCGCCGATATGAAAGATAGGGTCCTTATGCTTCCAAAACCGTACTGCAAGCGATGCGTGTTAATGTTCAGACCGAGCGTCACGGCTCTTAACAAACCCCACCTACAGAAGAGGTCTTAGTCCAATGACTCTTATGTGTAATGTAACGTTAATGGAACTGAGAGTCATGATCAAGCGCTACATTGCCCCAAGGTGTCGTGTCAACAGAATCACATGACCACCTTGTGAACACCAAAGCGCTGTAGCATCGACATTATTAATTTTTTACATGATCGAATATATCCATGGCCATGTAACAGAAAATAACATAACTAGTTACATTTTTGCTATAAAAAAATAAAATAAAAAATAAAACACACATTGATGAGACAAATACTTTACGATGCACGATGTTTACGCATTTTTGCGCAATAACACTTGACATTTGAGAAGCTGCCCTGCAATCTATTTGATGATGGTGATAAAAATAGGAAAAAAACATTTTAATGAAAAAGCAACACCATGAATGAATTTAAATGTATGCTCCAATTATCAAATTCCTTTGATAAACGACCGTGAAATAAATGTATAGCCGTCGTTGGCTACATTATATTTAAGCGTAGGTCATCTGTCAAAATCGCTGGCTGTGCCATTTTGATGCATTTCGAAAGAATTATGAAAAATCACATAATATAGACATTGCATTTAATCTAATTTGATGATAATAAAATGGCATAGCTACCTTTAGAAATTAAACGGTCCAGCGTCTTGATCCTCTGCCTTGGGAAGATGTGAGTGGCGGTACGATAGCAAATTATCAGCTTCATTTACTCCGACCTTTGCAGATCGCGAGACTCCGGACTCATAACACTGCAACTGCTACCATTATGGCTCAAGCCCACTGCGGTATCAAAGATATAGATGGAAAGATATATACTTCCTCTTGATATTCGTCTATAGTTTGAAATAAAAATAAAAACACCAACAAAAGAACAGAACAGCTGATGAGAAGCACCATAGCAATTTAGTAATTAGACATGTTCCACGGTTGAGGCTCGGAACAAAAAAATATTTAACACTCCACCTTAGGCTGAGGGCAGAAAAACAAACAGTAGAATGATGTGGTCTTTTTCGAGAAAATATCTTTGCGTTTGAGCCAAAATGGCGGTAGAACCATAGGATGTTGCTGTTATGCGTAAAATACGGATTGCATTGTGGGACACTGGAGATTTGCATGACACAATATTTTACAGCAGTGCTACGAATTCAAATGAAAAAACGAGTTGCGCCACAAATAACCAGAAATTGAATAATAACAAATTATTATGAAGACATGTAAAAATCTAACAAAAATGTCAAAGCTAAAGGTCAATTCATACTTCAAGAACAAACATCCCGAAATGTTAACATTTCAAAAACAGAACTTGTTTTTTACTAAGCAGAAATATTTGGTAATTTGCTCAACCCATATAATAAAAATAACTGGATTTAAAAAATATTAATGTACAGTGACGTTCTGCGCATGCGGGGTCAGAGTTGACAGTAGAGGAGTGCGGTAGCTAAGCTAACAGCTAGCAACATACATACATGTGGAGGGTACGACAGGAGGCAACCCCAACGCTGTCAAAATTCCCCTACCTGAACCGTAAACTACTCAGAACTTCAACCACATCGAAACTAAGGAATAACAGTAGTTTACAATGAAAGGGTGAGTAAAGCCATTTAGAGAGATGTCTGTGTTCCTAGCACGAGTAAAGTTTTTTCTTGTCTCTTTTTTTCAACGGGGGCGGGAGAGGTGGTTGCAATGCTAGCTAGCTAAACCCTTTGCACGGTTAGGTAAAATAATCTGCCAACGACAGCACCACAGTGATTTTCGTCTCTTTACCAGTTATTAGACACAATGTGTCTCATTGGTTAACTATCTAGATAGCAAATAACATCGTTAACCTGCTAAATGTGGCTAGTAGCGCGTGCATTTTCCATCAAATTAAACCTTGAACAAAAAGTCGGATAAGTTTGTAACCTGCCTGTTAGTTCGTGTAGTTAACTAACGTTAGCTGAATTTCGAAACGTTTGAAGTCCGCTCTACTTTGACGTTAACTATACCTAATTACTAGGCTACTTTACGCCACTCAACTCCAAGTTTGTTCAACTAGCTAGCTAGTTTGCTAACGTTAGCTACTTTACTTAGCTAGCGGCTAGGTAGCTAACACTAGCTAGCTAACTTAACTTGGAACAAATTCGATTAGAACTGTCACAGTACTACCTAGCAGCATGCTGACGTTTGTCAGTAGATTTTGACAATCATATTTAGCTATTGGCTAGTATCACTGGTTTCTGTGAAGGAGTGTATTTCGCTAGTTTATTAGGCAATCTTAAAATGACTCAAGTAACCCATTGATTCAATTTACTGTTTGGGGCGTGAGCATGAACCATAAAACCACAACATGGTCTCAGAGCATTTTGTATTATTCTGTACGTAAATCCGAGATACTCAGTTTAATATGATATGTTACGTTTCGTATGGTATGTATTTATTTGTGGATTTGTCTCACCTATTTTGTATGATGTTAAGAATTACAATTCGTATTATACAGTGCATTCAGAAAGTATTCAGACCTTGACTTTTTCCACATTTTGTACAATACAGCCTTATCCTATAATTGATTATTGTTTTTTCCCCTCAGCAATCTACACACTACCCCATAATGACAAAGCAAAATCAGGTTTTTAGAAATTGTTGCTAATTTATAACAAATAAAAAAACATAACATTTACATAAGTATTCAGACCCTTTACTCAGTACTTTGTTGAAGCACCTTCGGCAGTGATTACAACCTCAAGTCTTCTTGGGTATGACGGTACAAGCTTGGCACACCTATATTTGGGGAGTTTCTCCCATTCTTCTCTGCAGATCCTCTCAAGCTCTGTCAGGTTGGATGGGGAGCATTGCTGCACAGCTATTTTCAGGTCTCTACAGAGATGTTCGATCGGGTTCAAGTCCGAGCTCTGTCTGGTCCACTCAATGACATTCAGAGACTTGCCCCGAATCCACGCCTTTGTTGTCTTGGCTGTGTGCTTAGGGTCGTTGTCCTGTTGGAAGGTGAACCTTCGTCCCAGTCTGAGGTCCTGAGCGCTCTGGAGCAGGTTTTCATCAAGGATCTCTCTGTACGTTAATCTTTCCCTCGATCCTGACTAGTCTCCCAGTCCCTGTTGCTGAAAAACATCCCCACAGCATGATGCTGACACCACCCTGCTTCACCGTAGGGATGCTGCCAGGTTTCCTCCAGATGTGACGCTTGGCATTCAGGCCAAAGAGTTCAATCTTGGTTTCATCAGACCAGAGAATCTTGTTTCTCATGGTCTGAGAGTCCTTTAGGTGCCTTTTGGCAAACTCCAAGCGGGCTGTCATGTGCCTTTTACTGAGGAGTGGCTTCCGCCTGGCCACTCTACCATAAAGGCCTGATTGGTGGATTGATTATCTTGGCAAAGAAGAAATGCTCACTAACAGGGATGTAAACAAATTTGTGCACAGCATTTGAGAGAAATAAGCTTTTTGTGCATATGGAACATTTCTGGGATATTTTATTTCAGCTCATGAAACATTGGACCAATACTTTACATGTTGCGTTTTATATTTTTGTTCAGTATAGTTAAAGTTGCTAAAATGCTGAAGTTGTCCTTGATGAGATTCGAACTCGCAACCTTTGGACTCGTAACCATCTGTCTTATGTAACCATACCAAAAGTAATATATCATACTAATTTGAGTATCTCAGATTTACTTTTACTATGTTATGTCTAGTCTGAGACCAGGCTGTAAACCAAGGTGCTTTCAGGTAGTCAACCCCTATCTTATGCAATTATCTGTAAAGGTTACAAAATATAAATTCCCTCGTGGCTACTTTGTAAACAGTAGCTTAGTTTTGCATCTGTTACTGTAAATAACACACAGCTAGCTAGTATAAGTGAAGTTACACAAGGTAGCCCAATAATGGACTAAAGGAGCCTATCGTTACTCCTTGTAGTCCAAGGACCTTACATGTTCTGTTTAGAGGTGAATTGGCTCTGGCAGCCAAATACTCAATCTAAATGTGAATAGATTGCGATGCAGTTCAAGAAACACAACACCCTCTACTTTCATATCACAACAAAATAATTTCACAAATGCAAAATATACACTTACTGTACACTGTTTTAACGCAGTTGCAGCCGACAGTATTATTCAGTGACAACACGTGACGGTGTCAGTATGAAATGTATGCACTCGCTAACTGTAAGTCGTTCTGGATAAGAGCGTCTGCTAAATGACTAAAATGTAAATGTAAAATGGTGTCTTCAGTTTACACACAGGTGTTTGGAGACACAGATGGCTAATTAACACAGGTAGTCCACTCCGTCTAATGGCTGTTTTCTGTAAACAAGCGCTGTGACATTGAAATATGGCCATGTGGGAACCCTAAACCTATAAAGGTGTGTATCAATTTAACCTTTTTTGGTTTTAGAGGATTTTTTCCTGCTGATATGAAAGTAGGTCCTTATGCTTCCAAAACCGTACTGCAAGCGATGCGTGTTAATGTTCAGACCGAGCATTGGGGCTCTTAAAAAAAACTCCCCCGTACATAAGATGCCTTTGTCCAAGGATTTATGTGTAATGTAATGGAACTGAGTCATGATCAAGGACTAGGTACAATGTAGCAAACGTTTACTACAGTATATGTAGCTAACTACTTGGGGCATTTCTAAATCTAAGTGATTCTATCAACAGGGGGAAGAAAGCCTTCAGTGGATCAAATAAGACTGATGCGTAGATTCCATGTTGATACATAATCAAACCACAATTTCAGGTTGATGTTAGCTTATTTACTTCACAAGTTCCCCTAACACGTCACAGTCTTATCTGTACAGTCTAATGGTGGGGTCTCAGGTTTTTAAATTCACAGAGCAGATGTCTTAGATTTGAATATTGGCGACGTCGCCAGGTCTCTGCTGTCACTCTATCCGGCCTGTCTGACTGCCACCGAACACGTGACCAGCAGCTGTTGTCGGCATAGAGGTTTTAACATGAGGAGTCGCCCTATAAATACCTCTGTGTGCTCCCAGGAGGAAGTCAGTTGGAGACAAATGGTCAAACTCAAGCGAAAACAAACTCTCTCTCAGTCTCAGAGATTGACATTTACCTAAACATCTTGCCTAATCTTTCATGATCAAGGCACACAGGAAAGGCTGTGTACATGCATACAGATTGCTTGTAGCTGCATGTAACGTCAGTCATCCCAATTTAAAGAATGTTGGGTTTTGCATTGGGGGGCAGATTTCGTGTCTGTGTGTATCTGGCGTAGTGCTGTGTGCATGATGCCACTGTTGTACTTTTGGGATGAGAGGTGGCAGCTGTCAATGCATCTGGGCTAGCCCAAGTGGGTCTAGATGGCTCACAGTGGCAGGAGAACTGTCTGTCCAGCCCGCTCCCTAGAAAAGCTCAAGGCAGACCAGACCATGTCCTCCGGCACTGTTAGACATCTGTGTTTACCGACAGACTTCATGTGAGTTGTGCCATGGTCATGGTATCTGTACACAGCTGTGTATCAGTCACTGTGGATATGAGTGCCACATTAAAAGTATGTGGACACCCCTTCAAATTAGTTGATTCGGCTATTTCAGCCACTCCCGCTGCTGACAGGTGTATAAAATCGAGCACACAGCCATACGATCTCAATAGACAAACACTGGCATTAGAATGGCCCATACTGAAGAGCTCAGTGACTTTCAACGTGGCACCGTCATAGGATGCCACCTTTCCAACAAGTCAGTTCGTCAGATTTCTGCCCTGCTAGAGCTGCCACGGTCAACTGTAAGTGCTGTTATTGTGAAGTGGAAACATCGAGGAGCAACAACGGCCACACAAGCTCACAGAACGGGACCGCCGAGTGCTGAAACGCGCAGCGCGTAAAAATCATCTGTCCTCGGTTGCAACGCTCACTACCGAGTTCCAGACTGCCTCTGGAAGCAACGTCAGCACAAGAACTGTTCGTAGGGAGCTTCATGAAATGGGTTTCCATGGTCGATCAGCCGCAAACAAGCCTAAGACCACCATGCGCAATGGCAAGCGTTGGCTGGAGGGATGTAGAACTCGCCGCCATTGGATTCTGGAGCAGTGGAAAATTCTCATTGTTTCTACAGATTGTAAATTGAAAATAAACATTTTTGCTAAAATAATAATAATTATTGATCGATTGACTGACTTTTCAGATCACTCAGTAGTGCTATCTGCAGGGTTAGCTCCAGGTAAATATTGCAATCCTTTAGCCATTCCTGGACCTGTGTTCAAAAACAAGCTACAAATGGACAGTACCAAAACAAAAGATCTAATGATTCTGTCTCATCGCAGCAAAATCTGCAGAGCTGGGAAGATTGTATCCCCATATATCTGTTTGTGTGTGTGTCGTGTTGCTTGGTTAGACCCCCTCCCGTGCCCAGCTGGTTGACCGTTCTGCTCTTGTTCCAGTAGCCGGATCGAGCTGGGGGATGTTACGCCCCACAACATTAAACAGTTGAAACGCCTCAACCAGGTCATCTTTCCCGTCAGCTACAATGACAAGTTCTACAAGGACGTGCTCGAAGTGGGAGAGCTCGCCAAGCTAGGTAAGACGAGACGGGCTTGCCCAATCACGTAGTCCCTTGTAGTTTGATATTGATGCACTTGTTTTTGTAGTGAACTAAGGGTGTGTTATGAGGAAATACTGCATGGCACTGATGTCTAATACACCTGACCTCTGACCCCTGTGTTTGTAGCATACTTCAATGACATTGCGGTGGGGGCAGTGTGCTGCAGAGTGGACCACTCTCAGAACCAGAAGAGACTATATATCATGACATTGGGCTGCCTTGCGCCCTACCGTAGATTAGGCATAGGTACGGCGCAAGTCTTTTATTGTTGCTCTTGTACACCGACAATAGCCAGCTTCACACCATATTTACTTGTATCCTCTCATATTTCATATTTACTTGTATCCTCTCATACTGTTTGGAGTTTTTTATTTTACTTGTTACTAATTTTGCAGACATTCTTATCCAGAGCGACTTAGTTAGTGCATTCATCTTAAGCTAGCTAGGTGGGACAACCACATATCACAGTCATAGTATATACATTTTTCCTCAATATAATAGCGATCAGCAAAGTCAGAGCTAGTCACCTGTGTTGCATATTGTCAAACTCCTTATCTTCTGTCTTGTATTGTGACCAGGAACGAAGATGCTGAACCATGTGTTAAACATCTGCGAGAAGGACGGCACCTTTGACAACATTTACCTGTAAGTCTATAATCCAAGGATCTGTCCTGCGTCTTAAGGTGCTTACAGACGGGCCACGGTAAACGGCAATCTTACAGACTTCGGCACTTAGTCTGTAAACTCTTTACTGTGCAGCTCAATATTCTAAATGGACTCCTCTCATGTCTGTGCACTGTGTTGATGTGAAAGAACTGGACAGGTGAAAGCAATTGCCTGGTATTGGCATAGTATACACCATATTGCTTTCACCATTTCTCTTTTTTCACATCAGTGCAGATCAAGGAGATAAAGGCCCCTATTGAGATGCACCCTCAGTGGTCAGTTAAATGTTTGTCATCCCTCACCACCTAATTCACACGCTTCTATCTATCTGCATTGACCCTTTTTGCACTAACTCTTTTGACTCATCACATACGCTGCTGCTACTGTTTATTATCTATCCTGTTGCCTAGTCACTTTATCCCTACCTGTATGTACATATCTACCTCTCTTACCTCGTATCCCTGCACATCAACTTGGTCCTGGTACCATGTGTATATAGCCAAGTTATCGTTACTCATTGTGTATTTATTCCTTGTGTTATTATTTCTATTTTTTTCTCTCTGTATTGTTGGGAAGGGCCCGTAATTAACATTTCACTGTTGGTCTACACCTGTTGTTTACCAAGCATGTGACAAATAAAATTGTATTTGATTTGGATTCCTTCTCTCACCTGACAGTCACGTGCAGATCAGCAACGAGTCGGCCATCGACTTCTACCAGAAGTTTGGCTTTGAGATCATCGAGACGAAAAAGAACTACTACAAGAGGATAGAGCCGGCAGACGCCCACGTGCTTCAGAAGAGCCTGCGCAGCCCGTGTGCGCCCCCTGGGGGAGAGCTGCAGAAGGCCGAGTAGGGGTTGCAGCCTCCGGAAACAGCATGGTCGTGCCCCACCTCCCCCCAGAAACAGAACTGTGACAGATGCCCATGGGTCGACACATTCACCACTTTCTTCAAAGGACATTAAAAAGAGAGAAACAAATTCAAAGTTTAAAAAACAATACATGGCATTTTTATTTTGCAATAAGAGTCCCAATAAAAGATTTTTAAAAACTAAACAAAGGGTTCAGAATCCAAAAAGTGCTCAGAAAAGCTGCAGACTTCAGACAGTTTAGACATGGTGGGGGGTTTCTGTGTTTGCAAATCCTACTTTTTGTGTTTGAGTTGTTTTTAAAAGCGGTTATAAAGGTAAGGGGACATATCTTTGGTGTTTGGACAATAGAACTCAATAGGAAAAATATTTTACAGTAAGAGACTATCGTTGACAAAGGAAGTCCCCAACTGGTACCTTAGTGATGCTTCGAGTCGTAATGGTGACACATTCATAACTCTGAACTCTAGCCCATCACCACCCGAGCCCAGGGACTTATGGGAAGAGTTTTTACTGGTGGATGAGACTTCCTGTTTCTTCTTCTGGCAATATGCGAAGTGTGAGCCTTGCGATGTGATGCAATGCCCCCTCCTGACGTCAAAGCTTTGACGCCACTCCAGAGGGGGAAAGGAGAAATGAGCACCCCCATAGAATGGGCACGAGGAAGGATGAACAGTTTCAAGGTGTGGGGAGATTTGGGGGAGTGGATTCCCCTCTTTGTTTCTGAATGGTTATTTCTCAACCAATCTATTTAATTCTCTCTTCAGCTCTTTTTTTAAAATTATTTTTATGCCAACTGGCTCAGGGCTTCTCCTGGGCTTGCCACAGATGCTGTGTGAGGGAGTTCAGGGTGTGAGATCAAAGGAAATAACTGGTCTCTTAAGATGAGGATGTTGACGTTTTTGTCAAAGTACAAAGATGGAACAAGACATCCAGTAGGGGTTGGATGAGTAGCGGTCTGTGTATTTACAATAATTGTGGCAGTAATCTACTGTATCTCCATGCAGGTCTCTGTTTCAGGACTAGAGCAGTTCAACTGACTGGCTAAGATGGAGAGCTCTCTGCCTTGGAGGAGTGCATGATTGAGTTTGTTGTGGATGCTTCTGTTAAGATTGGCACTTTATAGTTAGCCTGTGTACTGTCTGGTACCGAGACTAATCTTTAGTGGCCCTTTAGTAGGAGGTTGTAACCAAGCCAACTAGATTTCTCCACACGCTGTATCAGTAACCTTTGTGCAGCTTCACTTATGACCATGACCATCTGTTCAACATTGTGGGAAGGATGCGTGTTGGTTTGGGAGTTTCCTCTGTCTGTAGGGCCCCTCAGAACAGAACCAGAAGCCCAGGAGAAACCCTGCCCCACTGCATGCTGGGAGAGTAGACCCCTCTCCACTAGTAAAAGCATGTTTTGTTTTCTTTGAAGAATTTTATCTTTTCTGGAGCTCTATATTGTAAGACTTTTTAACCTCCTAAATAAAATAAATACTATTTGCATTATTTGTTTTTTGTATATCCAAAACCACCGTACCAGACTGTGTTATGGATCAGACTGAAAACAGCATAATGAAGAAGCCTATTCGAAACTAGTCCATATTGCACAACAGAGTATTTCAGAGGGAATGTTGATGCATCTCCTTATACTCAGATAATCTTTATTATCCCTGAGGGGCAATTTGCTCAACAGCAGGAAGTCAAAATACATGACTGAGTATAAATCTGACTCATAATTTTTTATACAGCGATCCTGCTTGAGCCGTCAATCTTTCAAATCACATTTCAGGACTATGTCCCAGTACACATTTTGATTGGATCATAGCTCGAATCTCTTAAATCCGATTCGTCGTTTCAGTTTACATACGCCTCTTTCTCCTTTCAACTTGATTTTGTGTTAGGTTGTGAGAGGAGTTGATTGGATCCTGGATGCTGATCGGTTGATATGAGGGCGTTGTGGGTCAACAACTCCCGCAAAATACCAGACGTATTAGTCGCATAATTCCACTGTCCCGCAGCCCAGGCAAGAAATTGGTGGTTGTAAAAACCTACCTGTATGCCTCTACGACCTGTGCAACAATGTATAATTTAAAACATGTGATCTCTCCTGTGCCAGTAGGTTAGCTAGCCCAGGAATAATAATTCACCATGGAAACCGTAAACATTTAGAGTTCCATTCATTCATTAACCAGCGCATTGCGGCCTATATAGGCCTATTGGATATTTATTAAATCATTATTTATTGAAGTTCTTGTCTCATCATCATTGAATCTCTGCTAGCTAGCTAACATGCCAATGATTTGTTTAGCATAGCAACGTCGAATGATTAGAATGAAAGACTAGGTCAAAACATGAGAAAATAACTAATGCTGCGTTTAGATGGTATTTCAATGAGAGCACGATGGTAAATGCCGTTGAGCCTGGCGGTGAAAGCCGTCAGCCGCCACCGTAGACGGGACTTGCAGCCAGAGTTCAAATATTTCAACTTTTGCCGTCTGCCATAGCATTATTTTTTACCGGATGTTGATTTGCACGGATTGTTTACTGAAATCACCATAGCAACGCATACCATCGTGCTGGCTTGCTTTTGCCGTCACTCTCTTTCTTGCTGACTGGTATGACGGTTTTTGCGTCCCTCTAAACGCAGCATAACCACCAGCCAGCCCACTTGTAATCCTTTTTTGAATATTTGATGAGGGTTGTTGACGTCAACCGCCTGTATTCAATGGAGAGAGATGCTATGCTACTAGCCTCATGTCATGAATAGCCATCTCGAGACAACTCCGATATGAAGTGTTTTTTCTCAAAGTTGCCGTGATGTCACGTGTCCTACTTATGTCAGTACATTCGTAACAACTTAAGCATTACGAAACTTATTCTATCAAATAAACCTCACGTAGCAAATAAGCCATTAATTGTTTTGTTGAGAAAATTCGACACTCATTGACCTCCATACAAAAAACTCCTTGCTTAGTGTGCGAAACAACCAAAATACGCCACCTGCTGGAGGGAGACAGATTTTCCGCAGAGCTGGGCCTCTTCCTCCTCTCTGGGAAAACCAAAGTTTTGACAGGAACTAAATTCCAAAATGGGGAAGGTACAGATAAGTTGCTAGCTAATTAATTTCACATAATTGTCCTAATTTACAAGTGATTTGACAGTCACAAAGGTGATTTGCCAACTTTTCCAGGCGGTCTTTTGATTGCATTATTTTATTCACCAAGTCTAACAAGCAAGCTTGATATGTTGCCTACCTAGCGAGCTAGCTTGCAATGCTAGCTAGCAAGCTTGAGGGTGGTTGTTTGTTTAGCTTCCACAATATTGTTATCCCATGTACTGTGCATGTGAGTATGATTTATTGTGTTTTATCTATCTCGTTCAAATTCATACTTCCAAAGAGGGCTTCTCTTATGCGAACCTACTTTAACACCAGGATAGCAGTGCTAGTTAGCTAATGAGCTAACGTTAACTACCTAAGAAGTAGGTTCAAAATGGGGATGTTTGTGGGTCAACTCACGCTCGTTCTCCAAGAATAATCGCTATTGCCCTCAATAGATTTCATTCAAGACAGCCTGTCAGATAATATTAATTCATTATTTTCAGGTAACTAACTGGGATAACCGAATCGCACAGCGTTGGACTAAGCTCATTGTTTACATGTAAGGCCACAGTAACTTCAATTCCAACGACCCCGTTATTGGCAAGGGTCTGCTCTGCGCATCTCGTCCCTTGTTGTGATAAATAGATGCAGCACAGTGTTATTCAGAATAAACACAGCTAACTAGTAGATGGTGATTATCACAAAATTACAACAATATAAATGCTTAGTAACAAAACTGTTGTGTGGCTCATGTCTGACCTTACATCATGGGGCTACTTGAATTTGGGAGGTCTGTTGTTGCTGAACAGCCTTGTCTCATTCATGAGTGTGCATCTGTTACATATTTAAAATCAAGTGTTTTGTCTAGTCGTCATCCCTCCTTGGTCTCTTATGTTTGGGTTGCAGGTCGGCCAGGGAAGGGATTTGATGGTAGGCCTGCAAGCGTGGTGACCAGTGCCTGTTATACAGGCAGTAGAGTAGGCCAGGATGCCAGAGATGACAGAGAACCAGACTCCTGGCCATAAACCACGGTAAGGGCAAATCAATTCTTCTGCATTGAAGTTTTCAGGCACACAACATTGTCTAACCTCTTTATCCATTTTCTCTTACAGAAAGAAGAAAAACAAGGAGTCTCACAATGCAGGTGAGATATTGTTGTTGTAGTTTGTCTTTTTCTGTAATTTCCCAGCATTTCCTGGGAGTGACTCACTAAGTTTTTATGTTTGTTTTGTTTGTTCTTAAGTTGAGAGACAGCGAAAAGAGAAGATCAATGCTGGAATTAACCGTATTGGGGACCTTCTACCCTGTTCCCAGGCACTGAAGCAGGTAACACATAGGCTGTGTTTAGACAGGCAGCCCAATTCTGATATTTATTTCACTAATTGGTTTATTGACCAATCAGATCAGCTATTAAAAAGATCAGATCTGATGTGATTGGTCAAAAGACCAGTTAGTGCAAAACAGATCAGAATTGGTCTGTTTGTGTAAACACAGCCACACACACACACACACACACACTCACATGTGTGTTTTTGATCCGAACCATAGAACTTACGGGCTCAGTTTCTCAAGGTGTGATATTTATCCTTTGGTCTGAGGCTGTAGCTCCTGTTGATATCCTGCTGTATGTGTTTGCCTTGTGTCAGTCTCCATGTAAATCCCATGCTGACAGCCTCCCTCTGTCTTTAGAGTAAGAACATGATCCTGGACCAGGCCTACCGTTACATAAGTGAGCTGCAGAAACAAAATGACGCCATGCTTCTTGAAGGGGGAGAAATAGTACAAGGTGAGAGTTTGTGTGCTTCTAGTAGACAACAAGTATGTTGTCACAGTGCAGAAGTATGCAATTCCTTTGAGTGTGTTTTCCTATTTGTTTGCTTGCATTTTAGTGTTTGTGCATACATGTCTACTTGTGCCAGTCTGTCTGTCATTCTGTATTTGAGCCTGCCTGTGTGAGGTAATGATAATATATGCCATTTAGCAGACGCTTTTATCCGAAGCCATTTTTGCATACATTTTACGTACAGGTGTTTGAGAGACAGTGTTGGTGACCACTACTCCTTGTTGTCTCCTATCTCTGCAGTTGAGGAGATCCAGCGGCTGCGGCGTCAGCTGGACGAGCTGCGGAGGGAGAGCGGCCATTACATCGAGCTGCTCAAAGCCCACGACATCAACTTCCTGGACGACCCCACCGTCCACTGGAAGGGCAAGCTGCGCTGTGCAAAGGTCGCCAAAATAACGCCCACTCACCAGCTCCCCAAAGGAATTATTGTCTACTCCAATGGGAACGTGATATGCCCAGCAGGGAAGGAACCTAGTCCAGCCTCCGATCTGGGGAAGCAACCAGCCAATGCTGTGATTGTTCAGACATCTTGTGACATCACAGCAGGGGTTAGGGTGAACGGGGCTCTTCAGCACGTCAGCGTCCCTTCCTCTGCCCCTCCGCTCCTCCCTGGGGCAACCCTAGCCCCTACAGTGTCTACACCTGGCATCAGGCTGGTGGAACAGTGTGTAGCAGAGGCACCGTCAGCTCCCAAACTGCCTCCCTCTGTGTCCTACATCACCCTCCAGGGTCTCTGTCCTCTCCCCACGGTCACCACAGCCTTGCCCCAGCAGCTCCAGCCTGCCACCCCAGCCCCTAGTCTCACCGTTGCAGCCAGTCTGGCCACCCCACTCCCTCTCCAGCCTGTCCCCAGCTTTACAGCCCTTCCCCAGGTCATAACCACCCAGAACGTTGCCATCAGGACTCTGAGCTATACGACTATCACCAGCAGCCCAACCCTCCTCAGGGCCAGTGCAGCAGGGAGCACACAGACCACCTGGACTACCCTACAGCTGGCTGGGAACACAGTGCAACCTGTCTGCCAGTCTCTCCCCACCCCGGAGACTAGCACCACTGGGCAGCAGAGTATCCAACAGATTGTGGGCGCTAAACCATCAGTTCAACCCATTCATATTCAAATGAGCCAACAGGTACCCATACTGCCCCAGGCACCCATCACTGCCCATATGCAAGCCCAGCCTTCCATCCAGAGGACACCCCAGCTACGGCCAGCTATCCTGGCCCAGCACCAGCCCCAGACAGTCATGGCTCCCCAGCCACAGTGTGCTGTCCTCCCTCAGTCAGCCTTTAATCCTGCTGTGGTAGCCCACTCGGCTATGATGTCACAACAACAACCGCAACCCGCTGTACTACAACAGGCCACAGTCCCCCCCCATCCACAGACTGTCCTCATGACTCAACCCCAACCAGCCATGGTTCCCCAGCCTCAGCTCAAGGCCCAAGCCCACCCCCAGGCAGCTGTTATGCCCCTCCTCCAGACCATGCAGGGATTGCAAATGAACCCTACTGGGACAACAGTTGCTGGGGTAACGGCTCCTCAGAACACTAACAACCCAAGTGTTGTCATCCTACAGCAGGCCAATCCCTGCTCAGCCCAGTCGGTTGTCAGGGACGACTTAACCAATCCGACGCCTTGTCAGCACATCGTCATCATCCAGGCCTCCAATCAGCCTCCGCCGGCACCTCCTCAGAACCCTCAGGTTGGCATGGTGCCCGCGGTAGCACCTGTCGTGCCCAATCAGATTGTCGCGACCAGCTGCACAACTTCCACCACTGGGCAACATATCGTTGGGGGTAAACAGTTGGTCCACATTCTACCCCGTCCCGTCCCTCAAACCCAGACACCCCAGGCCACCCCGGTTCCCCCAACCCCTCAGACCTTCACTGTGAACGGGCAGGTGTTTGCCCTGCAGCCCATGAAGACCTCGGAAAAGTCAGGCTGTCAGGGTGGCCAGAGCAGTCTCCAGCTGATCCAGCCTACCACCGCTGATGAGCCCACCACCAACGTGGCTCTGCACACCCTGGGAGCCCTCGGCAGCCTCAACCAGAGCATCTCACAGGGCATGCCGCCGTGTATCTCCACCCAGAGTAATGTCCAGCTGACCCTAGCCTCACCACCCTACTCTATAGTGCCACAGCAGCAGCCATCTTCTGTCCCCATTTCAGCAGGTCCACACAGTTCCCCCGTCAGGCAGATCCAGATCCCCAGTGTGACTCCACACAGACCAGGAAAGGCGGTGGTTCCAGGGAAGGTGGTGGTTACAGGGAAGGCGGTGGTTACAGGGAAGGCCTCGCTGAGGCCGCCTGGCACAGCCTCAGTGCCCAGACCTAAGAGGGCCACCACCAAGCGGACCAAGTTAGTGAGGAAGAAGGAGCCCAAACAGAGACGGCCTAGTGGTACTGTTACCATCACAGCGAAGCCAGTGGCTTTAACAGGGGACCATCTGGAACAAGAGGTCACTGTGCCTCAGGGAATCCCATCCTCTGTTGCTGTGACAATACAGCCAAAGCCTCCCCCTGTCAGCTTCCCAGCTAACACAACCACGGTTAGTAGTAGTGAGGCTTCCACACAGACCAGACCTGTTGTGAGTAGTGTCAACTCTACACAGTCATCTCCTAAAGTTAATACTGTGAATACTAGTTCATATAGTGGACCAACTGTCTCCAGTGAATGCACCACACAGAGTAAAACCTCTGTGACAAGTTCCACTAGTTTCACTCCGTGTACAGTTAGTAGTAGTATTAGCTCCACACAGAGTCAACTCCTTATCAATAGTGTTGTGAGTCTAGCTACAGTCACCACTGTCACTTCTGCAGCAGATAAGCCTACAGTCAGTGCTACTGTTTCTTCTCAGAGTAAACAACCTGCAGTTGCCGCTAGTGACAGCGCCACTCCCCTCAGACCTACAGTCAGTTCTACTGTTTCTTCTCAGAGTAAACAACCTGCAGTTGCCGCTAGTGACAGCGCCACTCCCCTCAGACCTACAGTCAGTTCTACTGTTTCTTCTCAGAGTAAACAACCTGCAGTCGCCGCTAGTGACAGCGCCACTCCCCTCAGACCTACAGTCAGTGCTACTGTTTCTTCTCAGAGTAAACAACCTGCAGTTGCCGCTAGTGACAGCGCCACTCCCCTCAGACCTACAGTCAGTTCTACTGTTCCTTCTCAGAGTAAACAACCTGCAGTTGCCGCTAGTGACAGCGCCACTCCCCTCAGACCTACAGTCAGTTCTACTGTTTCTTCTCAGAGTAAACAACCTGCAGTCGCCGCTAGTGACAGCGCCACTCCCCTCAGACCTACAGTGACACAGAACAGACAGCCTGTCCCTACTACTATCAGCACTGTGCAAACTAGATCAGCTACCACCAATGGCAGTTCTAGACAGAGCAGATATACGGTGACCAGTGTCTGTTCCACTGAGACTAGATCTCCATCTACGGGTGTGACGTCTTCAGCAGCATGTCGACCCTCAGTCAGCACTGTAAGCTCAATAGAAAGTAGACCAGTGGTTTCTCTCCAGTCTGCTCAGCTCACTTCATCATCACCGGGTCAGACCAAGCCAGCCAACAGCCAGGAGTCTCAGCCTACAACCCAGCCCCAGTCCCAGCCCGTGGCTTCTCCCTCGGGCCCCTCCACTCCAACCCCCTGCTCCAGTGTCCTGTCTTTCGCCTCACCCTCTGTAACAGTCCCCATGACCATGCCATCAGAATACAGGAAATGGGTCCCCTATAACAGACCCTCGACCCAGCAAATGACCATGCCCACTTCCACACCATCCCATCCTGCTGAGCTGAGGGTGACAGCGGTGTCAGGCAGGGAGAAGGAGCCTCATGGAGAGGCCCACCCCAGTGCAACGGTGGAGAAAGCGAGTGTGAAGAGTGCTGCTGCTCCCTCTAGAAAGGACTCCACTCTCCCACAGCAAGTGTACACGCTAGACCACGAACCCTTGGATCAGCCTCAGGCTCCTAACAGACAGACTGACTTGGCCCATGTCTGGTGGCGCAGGTGGTGGAAGGGGCTTCTCTGTGGCGTCTATGCTTCCCACAGGCCACAGTGTCAGTTCCTCGCCAGGTAATTTTGGACCGTTTACTTTTACCACCGAGCAGGCTGATATCCTGGCTATGTTGGAGCAGGACAGTCCTGGGAGGAGGGTGGGGTGCTGCACTGTGGACAACTCCACCTCAACAAACACCCCAACACCTGCATGGGAACCCAACCCCAAGTCCCAGCAAGCCTCCAACAGCAAAGAGAGGGGTGCTGGACAACAGACGAAGCTCACCAAGCAGATGGAGACACCAGTGGCTAAACCCCTGTCACAGGTGTCTGTTAGAGGCCAGGCTGGAGAGGTAGCAGGCAGTGGAACCAGCGGAGCCAGACATCCACAGAACATCTCCTTCTCCCAGTCTCACCTCCAGTCCCAGAGCCAGGTCCAGTCTGGTACTGCCGGCACCCTCAGCGTCAACAACCTGATCCGGCCCAGCTCCAGCCAGCAGCAGGCATACCCAGGCTCCCTCAGTCTGGCTGGGCAGCAGGGCTCAGTCCTGTCCCCTGCAGGGAACTCAGCCCATGTCTCCCAGCCCTCCACCCCTGGCCTTCCTCCCTTCTCAGGCTCAGTCCAGCTGAACGAGTACACCCCCCTGAAGAGTGCCCTGATAAGGGCCCTGGTGGGGGTGGGTGAGCCGCAACACATCAAGGACTTGTCCAAGCGGCCAGCCCAGGACGATGTGATACTGTCCAGCAGTAACAAGCGACAGAAGGCCTTCTCGTCGGCCTCCAACGTGGGCCGCATTGAGGTCAAACCACTGGACCACAGCCAGATGATGGTACCCCAGCTACCCCCTAGCTCCTCAGCCGTCATGACCAGGATCAACCCCGATGGAGTGGGTACCTTGTTCTCAGGCAACGCCTTCATGAATACAATGCTCCGACCCACCGAGAGCCACTGCACCCCTCAGCTGACCCCCACAGGAACACAACCAACCAGGTGTGCTCCACCTGCCCCATGGCCACCCCCAGCATGTTGCACCCCAGCCAGGCCAACACCTCGGGGGGAACCCCTACCTGAAGCAGCAGCAGAGGCACCACCTGACCCAGCCTGACCCTGCACGGCTCCACAGCCTCCAGCAGAGGGTGCTGCAGCAGGAGCAGCAGGTCCAGAAGGAGCGGGGGCTGGTTGGAGGAGGTCAGAGCGGCCCTCCTGTGGGCCTACAACAGAAACAACACCACCTGGAGAAGGGAGGAGTTCAACAGCAGCAGCACCAGCATCAACAATCACAACAATCACATCAACAACAACACTCACAGCAACAACAACATCAACAGCGGCAGCAGCAACAGTCACAACAACACCAACAACAAGCCCAGTCACAGCAGCAGCAACAACAACAACAACAACACCCTCAACAGCAACAGCAGCACCAGCAGCAGAGCTCCCACTCCAGACACCAGCACCTCCAGCAGCAACAGATCCAGCAGCACTTTGGGTCGCGGCACCAGGAGAAGAGCTGTGAGGCCCAGCCAGGACCAGCAGGACCCAGAGCTCACCACAGCAGCCACCTGACCCAGCAGGAACACATCAAGGTACATGAACTACTGAGGCTGTGTTGAATACATGATGATAATGATTGGATTGTCTTGTTTGCAGCTCTGAGTATACATTAAAAACATGTGCATGTGCTCCATTTGGATGATTTAGAATGAAGTCTGTTTTCTATATGTTTCTATCCAATCTTTTCTCCTCTCTTCCCCCTCTTCCCTCCCATTGGTCGGGTCAGAACCACAGTACCATGCAGAGGCTGATGAGCTCTAGGAACCTGGAGCAGCAGCTGACTTCCCAGCCCAGCAACCCTGCCTCCCGGCCCTCCGACCTGGGCTGTGCCCCCTCGCGCCAGGAGCACCACCGGGTCTCCAGCTACTCTGCAGAGGCCCTCATTGGGAAGAGCTCGTCTAGTGGCGAGCAGCAGCAGCGCATGGGGCTCCATCTCCAGGCCACTCGCGGTACTACACAGGAACAGCCAGACCTACTGAGCTACCTGGGCACATCCAGAGTGAAGGGCAACATCACACATAACCCTCAGAGCCGGCTGCCCCCAGACCACCCAGGCTCTGCAGATGTCCAGAGGTTCTCTGAGTGTCTTCCGTTTAAAACAATCGGCGGGGCTGGAGGGGGGCATCGCCTGGGGGGCTTTGAGGACATGACACCTAAATCAGGTGCCTCCTCTCAGAGAGGCGCCCAAAGCCAGCAGGGGGGTTTCAGGATGGGCCCGGGGCCTCCAGGGGATGGGCGACCCCTTGGGGGGTACAGTGAACCCCATCCTGGGACGCAGGGGGTGCAGATTGGTGCTTCAGGTCTTCCCCGGGACCAGGAGGGGTGTCATCAGAGCTTCATGCAGAGTCTCCTGGAGCAGACCAACCACCAGAGGGCAGTGCAGTGCTGTCCTCCGGTCAGCATGGAGTACAGCTGTGTGCCTGGCAGCTCTGCAGGGGACATGCAGGCTAAAGCATCCAGCCCCAGTGTTCCTCCCACTCAGAAGGCCCCAGCTTTGAGGCTTGGGGAGGGCAACAAGGGCCACATCCCTCAGGGTAGTGGGAACATGGGCGTCCACCCAGGGGTACGGGCAGGTCTCCCCCACCCTCTTACCCCCCACAGCAGCTCTGAGCCAGGCCGCACCTCTGCCCCCTCCAGACCCCCCACCGCAGTCAGCCAGCGCTCCCGCCACATCACCCAGGAAGCCCAGAGCGGGAAGCTGAGGCCTGGGGAGCGACCACGGTCAGGCAGCCTGAGACCTGGGAACCCCTTTGAGCCTGGCGTCCACCTGCTGGGTCGACCACAGTCAGGGGGTGAGGCGCGGCGCAGCAGTATTGTCCGCTTTATGGCAGACAGTGCCCAGGTCGCCGGGGACAACAACCTGATGCCTGACCAACACCTGGCCCAGAACTTTGGCTTCTCCTTCATCCCGGAGGGAGGAATGAACCCCCCTCCTATCAGCCAGCCCAACTCCTCCCGCCCCTCGGCCCTGCTATCTGTAGAGCCCCAGAACACCTTACCCTCCTTCTACCCCTCCTACCCCCCTGCCGCCCACCCCAGCCTGGCCAGCGACATCCCCATCCAGTACTTCTCCAACCAGATGTTCACAAGCCCCAGTGCCGACAAGAGCAGCTCTGCCCCCCTCAACAACCGCTTCGGCTCCATCCTGTCTCCACCGCGCCCCGTAGGGTTCGCCCAGGCAACCTTTCCCCTACTCTCAGACATGCCCCCTATACCCATCAGCAACTCCTCTGGCATCACCCCACACCTGTCCAACTTCAGCCTCACCTCGCTGTTCCCTGAGATCGCCACGGCGATGCAGCCTGATGGTTCTGCCATGCCAATGTCCCCATTGCTGTCCCTCTCCAACACTTCCTCTGCAGACTCAGGCAAGCAGCCCAACCGCCCCGCCCACAACATCAGCCATATCCTGGGGCATGATGGGAGTTCTGCCGTGTAGGTGAGGGGACTTGAGGTGTTGTCGTGCCAACGTGGCAGTCAGGAATGTTCTGATTCCAGATAAAACATTTATTGAGTTGTATTACGTGGAGTAATGTCATGTCATGGCCAATTGAATTGACAGGAGTTCAACTCTACTGTTTGGATTGAAGCGGGTGACTCTACTGCTGATCTTTTCTGTTGGTTTTTATCATATTATTTCTGGTTAGTGTTCTACTTTAACTGCCTGCCAGTTCTATTGATACCTTAACATGGCATCTGATGCCCTTGTTACAAAAGTCATAGCATTTCACTGATCAGCACTCCTATGACTCTAGGATGGGGGAAATGAAGCTTCTAAACCATATGGTTTGCAAATAGGTCTGACGTGATGACTTATCTGCTAGTAAAATGCTATGAAGCGTTTTGTACTTTCATTGACTGTAAGTTCTAAAAGAGGATCCATTGAAAAACATCTGCACAAAATTCTCAAATGTAAATGTACTAACTTAATCAGGGTATCCTGTACAGAAACTATTTGATTAGAGCTATTTTGTAAATATGTTTATTTTGAGAAGTGTTAGTTTAATATCTATGTATTTGTAAATAAATAAAGTTGATTTAAAAAAATGTAATTGATTAAAACTTTGTCTGGAAATTTCAGACACATGATGTCCAGATGTCACCAGTTTCACTTCCTAAATAGTCACAGTACTGTAGGTGTCTTCAGTTGGGTGAAGGATAAATCAAGTGAGGGACAAATCTGAAATGGTATCTTTGCGATTACGCCTACTTATTTCAATTCCCTACAAACCGCAAACCATTTAACAGGGTTAAAATGAAACGCACAAACAACCAAGGTGGTTCATTATAAGCTTTATTTACATGCAATAGTGCTTCAGCCTGTGTAACCATAACGTCTACACACATAAAGATGGGTTATAGATTCAGGAACTCCTTCATTTTGATCTGATGCCTCGTGGGGAAGGCTAATACTGATGCACCAATCTGTGAGGGAAGAATAATACGGACGCACCAGTCAAAGATTCCTTTACAAGGCACAGTCGTTTGGAATAGTGACCAGCATAAACAGTAAACAAACCGTCATTTCAGAAGTTATGTCTAAGATAAAACGTAGCAGATAAACCTTCCAGAATGCTTCCCATTCAGTGATAAGAAAAATAAATCTGGCTCCTAAAAATAAATAACTATACAATATATAAATATCTGTACTCTAAAAACGACAAAAGACAGAATGCTTTGAAGTTGCATACGTTTGTTAATACTTTGTTAATGAAAAATGCATAATATTTCTCAGTTATTTCTATACAAAACGGATGACGGTTGTACCTTGAGAATCGCACCATTATGACAACACTAAACAGGATTGAAGCAGGAGTATATACACAACACTGCATCACAACATACACGAGGGTTGCGTCCAATGTGCATTATCATTGAGCATTTTCAGGTAGTACCTCGTCCAAATGCTTGCTACCCCCTTCGTCTCTACTGAGCAGCACAACCCTGTCCATTGGTCTTTTGTTTCCAGCTGACATGCGGCTATCAGGATAGTATAATAACCAGATGTCTGAGTTGTGAATAAGTGGACAATTGGAGTTCTACAGGGAATGACTGAGGAGACTGGTAGATGTGCTGCTGGTGCCGGGTCAGAGAAACAGTGGAATGGCGCTTCTCTCCATCCAGTAGTATCTCATTCACATTCTGTTGAAGATTTCATTTGTGACTTAAATCAGCACCAGGATTGGAATCACATTCAGATACTCCCCCTTCCTCCTCAAGAAATGCAGATATTAATATACGATCACAGATCTGTCTTATAACACAGAGCAGCATTACAACATGATAACAGAAACTCCCTTTGTCCTGGTTGTAGTGACAGGACGTACAGATAAGTGTCTTCCAATATGAACATATCCTTGTACACAGCATAAAACAACATTTTTATATATACAAAAGCATAAATATATAAATATCTGTGATACAAAAATAAATACTTTGTTTTGTGTTTTTCTTATAGCGTTTTTTCAAGCGTCCGTTTAATCTGACGTCCCTTGTTCTACCGGTGGTGTTTCACTCTGGAGAGTGTTCACTTCCTGGAGTGGAAGTGCATCTTGGGATTCTGGCGTTGTAGCTGTTGATGTCGCCGTGGAGATCTCCTCCTCCAGTGGTAGCAGAGGAGAGAGAGAGCAGGGTAGGTCTACACAGACAGAGGGGAAGAAAATACATGTTTATCTAAAATGGTCATTTGAAATCTGCGGTGGGCATAACACATTCATAGCTCCTCAAGTGTGAGGTAAATGCATAAGTTGCATAATGTTAAAGTTTTGTGAGAACGGACTTGTACCTTGATTGATGTCATCCTCCCGTATGATGTCCCCATTGTAAAAATGGGCGTTCCCCGTCGGGTCCTGAGTGCTGATTGGCTGTTCTGAGGTGTTGAGGAGCTGGAGGGTGGAGTCCTCAGGCAGAAAGCAGTGATCTTCTCCGTCTCCATGATGCTCAGGCTCACTGATAGAGAGAGGGACATGTTTGGGTGAGAATGCTTATATACACACACACACGTGTACATATACACACAGAGACAGACTGACTGACTGAAATTGAGAATATGTGAAAACAGTACTGTATCTACCTGTTAGAGTAGTGGTAGACTGGGACGTGTCCGTTTGACATGATATGTGGCAGCAGTGTGTCACACTCCATATCACACTCCACATCCTCCTGCAATAGGAACAAGAGACATCAGTTAGACTTCTGTTACACATGAAAAACAATAATGTGCCCGAAGCTGATACGCTACAAACTGATTTATTGGTGAGATGCACAAGACATGAAACTTGGCGAGTTTAGCTTCCCAATGTGGACAGAACTCAGTCTGACCTGATGTAGTCCTGGCAGGCAGTGTGTGGGGTGAAGGTGTTTCCCGTTGGAGGTGTACAGTCCGTTGGGGGGGTAGACGGCGTGCGGCGGGGGCAAGTGGGGGTCCAGCGGGCAATGCCCAACCACTGCCAGGCCCTGCAGGGGCACCATGGTGTACTGGCAGGAGGAGACAGGGGATGCCACGGCTGGGAAACACAGGTCTGACGTTTGCTCTGGAGGGGAGAAAACCGTTGTTAGACATGGAAGGACTTCCAGGGATGATATATCAAGGGATTAGTCAATTCAAAATGGCGGGATTGGTCAGTTACGTTTAAGTCATTTATCCATGGCGTCTACATTCATCTTAAGATAGCTTCAATAGATCTGACAACCACATATCACAGTTATAGTCACTACATTTTTCCTTTATAAAGTAGCTATCAGCAAAGTCAGAGTTAGAAGGGGGGGGGGGGGGGGGGTTCTAGGTGAGGAGGTCGTCTGTTAAATTACGTAAATGTAATGTAATGTAAATTAGGTTTCTTTCCCGCCCCAATTTCGTGACATCCAAGTGGTAGTTACAGTCTTGTCCCATCGCTGCAACTCCTCTACGGACTCATGCCAGGTTAAGAACCATGTGACCTCCGAAACACGACCCTGCCAAGCTGCACTGCTCGCTTAACCCGGAAGTCAGCCGCACCATGTGTCGGAGGAAACACCGTCCAACTGGCGACCGAAGTCAGCTTGCAGGTGCCTGGCCCGCCACAAGGAGTCGCTAGAGCCCGATGGGACAACGAAATCCCTGCCGGCCAAATCCTCCCCTAACCCGGACGACGCTGGGCCAATTGTGGGTCGCTTCATGGGTCTCCTGGTCACGGCTGGCTGTGACAAAGCCTGGGATCGAACCCGGGGCTGTAATGACGATGCAGTGCCTTAGACTGCTGTGCCACTCGGGAGGCCTTAGGAAGGGGATTATTTAAGATACTCTGAGTTCAAACAACTACAGTTGTTTTTGTGACTAAACCGAACTTGATCCAACAACTACTACCACCACCCTCCTCGTCCTTATCCTCAGCAATACTCACTCTCTTTGGCCCAGGCTCTCCACAGGCAGAAGGGGATGAAGGATACGATGATGAACACGAGGGCCCCCAAGACCACGCCCACTATGAGGTAGGGGAGGTCGCTGGGGCGGGGCACAGGCCCCCCGGAGTGCTCTGGTCTCTGGGACGACGTCTCCGACGGGAAGGGCCGCTGGTTCAGACGAGCTGGGGGAGGGAGGGGTTCATTTAGTTGATAACATTTATCACAGTCAGGCTATAAAATGAATTATATGAACAATGTTGCGTTTTTAACAAGCAGGTGTTCTAGTGTTTCTCTGTGAGCGTACATGTGTTACTGAGATGGCTATACAGGTAGAGACCGAGATCTGCATACCTTTAGTTTCTAGGATGACCACGTTGCCAAACTCGCTCTCTCCTCCCTCGTTGAAGCACTGCATCTTGATGTCGTAGGCCGTCTCAGGCTGCAGGTCAGTGATAGAGTGCCAGTAGCGGTCACCTTCCACCACGTCCTTCTTATAGTCACTGTCGTTGTCACTGTCTGTCGGACGGTAGAAGATGTAGAAACCGTAGACAGGAGTGTTGTTGACGGCAGTGTACTGTGGTGAGAAAATATATGAAAGATTTAATATTAACAAAATGATAGTATTAAGAGTTTTCAGCCATACTTCTAACATGACAACACAAACATAAAGCACACACAGCCTGTTCCACTCACCGTCCATTTGAGGATGATGGTGGTCTCGTTGATGGCTTCATTATAAGTGATGTATGGTCCGTCTACGGGGCGTTCGTTGGGCCTGCCGCCACCCACCACCGTGTAGGCCTTAGAGGGGACACTGGGGGGGCTGGCGCCAATCACATTCACTGCCAACACACGGAACTTATAAGACATGCCTACAGGGAAACAGAAAGCACACACGGGTTAAAATAACCAAACACCAGTTACACTGTCTACGTCTTTCTCTGTCCACACACTAATGGTGACCAGATGGTAACCATGTTGATTACTTACAGTCATTATTAAAATAGGTATGATTATGATGACTAAAACAGTAATGTTGATGATAATCAGAGTCATGCTAATGATGATGAGGCCATTTGTCATCATGAGGGATAATGATGATGATGATGGTGATGAAGCTCACCTTTCTCCAGGCCAGTGATCTCCACAGACAGTCGTTGGGGGGGGATGTTAGTGACAGCCACCTCCCATTCCCCTCCCCCCTTCCCTTTCAGCTTCTTAAACTCCACCCGGAATGACTGGATGGGGAAACCACGGTTACCACGCGGGATCCACGTTACGTATGCAGACGTCTCTGTCGCCGTGGAGATGGTGGGCTTATCAGGGGCCTCGGGAGCTGTGGAAAAGTGATAGAGGTTAAACGGACATCAAATCTATTATTGTTCCATATTAATGCACATACAACCACACTGACACAAAGACAGACTCACTCTCAATAACATTAAAGCCAAAACACACACAGAGACAAGCAGGTAACGTAACAAACTTACAAAGACTTACTGTGAGCTCATCCTTTAGTGTTACAAGTGAAAGAGAGATCAAGACAGATCACATGTTAGTACAGAGTAGAAAAGTGAGGGGGTTAACAGTTAGTCAAACAGTTTTATAACGGCTCAGTTAGGATGTTATAAAGAGCTGAAAGGGCTATTAAGAGTTGTAACTGTGGTCCATCGATGTTCCAACCATACTGGACAGTAGGAGGGGGACGGGGACTTACGAGAGAGGCGAGGTGATGGTACTGCAGGAGTTTTAGGGGGCTCGTTCTGCCCCCCTGGACCCTTACGACCTGTTGGCACGGAAACAAGAGTATTAGCAAAAATACTCAAATATCGGGGAATCAACATGGGGGCATTTATTATAGTAATTTTGATTAATAGATAGGTAAATAAATATACCTTTGCCTGTCCTGAATGTCATCATGGCGGGTTGTCCCAGGCCAGCACAGTTCTTAGCAGACATCTCCACCTCGTACAGACTGGCTGGCTGCAGCTTGGCCAGGGTCAGCTTGTGGAGAGACCCAGATATACTGCTGCTGGTCCACTCACCCGGAGGGTCCTCAATCTGGTGGAGAGAGAGCGAGGGAGAGAGGGAGAGAGAAGAGAGGAGGCATTAGTTAGTGTGTGACGACATGTAAAGACATGTCATTGTAGACAACTTTATTATATCTGTATGTTTTGCTCTCTCTATTTTTATTAGTTCTACTATTTTGATATTGATTACTGCACTGTTGGGTAGAGCATGCAAGTTAAGCATTTCACTGTACTTATGGATGTGACAATAAAACACTGAATGAGCATAACATTGTGTGTAAAATATGTGTGGATTTATGAGTTAACTAGCCTGTACCTTTCTGTACTTGACAATGTACTCCACAACAGGAGACCCTCCATCGTGGCGAGGTTTCCAGGTCAGATCATAGAAGTCGGCCTTGACAGTCCTGGGCTGGCTGAGGATGACAGGGGCCTCTGCCACAGAGATCTGCCCAGGTAGCTCAGAGCAGTCCAGGGTCAGCACGCTACCCATGGCCCCAGGCTTCACTGGGGCTTGCTCCCGCAGCACCTTGTCTGGGCTCAGGGGACGCAGGCTGGACGGCAGCTTCCCTGACCGCGACGGGTTACTGGTTGGCAAGGTGACCAGTCTGGTGGCGGCCTGCGAGCTGCCCACGCCGTTCTCGGCCATGCACTGGTACAGGCCGTCGTCCTGTGGGCCCACGTTGATGACACGCAGCACGCGGGCAGACAGGCGGTGGCGTGGCGATGTGGCCAGGGGGCGGGCATTGTGGAGCCATACCACAGAGGGGGCGGGTTTACCCCTGGCCTGGCAGCTGAAACGTACGCTCTCCCCCCACAACACCTCCTGCTGCTGGAGCTCTACGGTCACCTGGGGAGGCTCTATATATATAGAGAGAGAGAGATTTGAAGAACAAGAGGAGATTTGAAGAACCTTTATTGGGTCTGGGAACCCACAACACAATAAACACATCAATTAAAAACACAACACCAAATCTTCCTCTACAGTAGCTAAACACAACAGGCTTTGAATACCCCATATACTCAAACAGCCCAATGTTATTAACCAGTTTGTAATAGGCAAACTCAACCCTCAGTATCGCTGCCAACATCCCCTGCAGCATTCCCACCACATCCACAGTCCACTGTCCCCAAATACTGTTCTTTCGTGTCTTCCAAATTGCTAATTTAGCGGCCCCTGACACAAAGTTAAGCAAGAGAACTACACCCCTTCTACTAAACATGTACTTTAGCCCAAATATAAACTGTTGGGAAGAGAAAACCTCTCCCAGAGCTGAAAACCAACCAGTGATCAGGTCAATCATCCCGACCAACCTGGGACACTGTAAGAACAGATGTGCCAGAGTTTCAGACTCAGCACAGAATGGACACCCTTCCCCAACAGTAGGATCCAGGTGTACCAGATGCATATTGTTGGCTACAGCTCCATGTATTATCCTCCATTGGAGGTCAGCTGTCCTCTTTTCAACAGGCAGTTTGTATAAAGACCGCCAACAGCCTATTGGGGAGGCACCTGGACCAAACACACCCGCCCATCTCGTCGATTTTACCCCTTCCAAGGAAGAAGCTTGGGACACTTTCACACAGATTTTGTACATGGCCTTCTTTCCCACCGCCTTGAACTCCCCCAGCTCCAGGGTATCGAAGGATAGCAGCATCCCCATGTCCTCCTCTAATGCCCCCGCCGCAGCACTAACATTCAGCGCAGGGAACACATAATCCAGACCCTCTGTCCACCGATCAGAATTGGAAGGTTCAGTCACATACTGCCGATGAAGTACTGGCAAGGAATCGCAGACCTCAGCTACGACCTTCCTGAGTAGGCGAGATGATCTGATCCCCGCTCTTTCTCCCAGCTCCTCCAATGATCTGCTCCTGCTCAGCATCATATGACCCAGCTTGGTGCACCCCACACCTAACAGGCATGAACCTAGGCTGGCTGAACCCATACACGGGACTGGATGACAGTGTTAAATGTAATGTAATGTAAATGTTATAAAAAAGAGGCTCTTCAAAAAGCCACATCCCTGGTGGCGTGCCGGCCTTACGGGACATGACAAACTCTCCAAGCCGCATAACAGACTCATAGAATGGAGTCAGGCCAGACAAATCACACCCCTCTAGCTTTAAGAGGAAACGGTGCTTGTCTAAGCCCAAACAGCCCGCTCTCCTCATCAATGTGTAGGCTGCATCGACCCAGCTAGAACCGTCACTGTACAACATTCTCTGGGCTGCTTGAAGCCGGAAAGCCATGATCCTAGAGGAAATGAACACCAGGCCTTGCCCACCCTCGTGCAGTGGCAGCTACAAGGCTGCAGCTTTAATACAATGTTGTCCAGACCAGAAAAAATTGACAAGGGTCCTCTGAAGCTCTTGTATCAGACCCCGAGGTGGCTGTAAAATCATTAGTCTGTGCCACAGGGTAGACGCGGCTAGGTTATTGGCTACCAGCACCCTTCCCCTATAAGACAGCTGGGGTAGCACCCATTTCCACCTAGACAATCTGGCACACACCTTCTCCACTACACCCTCCTAGTTCTTTTTTTTGAAAAGACATCGGAGCCTAGAAAAAACCCCAAAGTCTTTATCCCATCTCTGCCCCACTGAATCCCCCCTGGTAACCATGGAGCGGACCCTATCTGAAGCTGACCTGCCCACAGCAATTCACGCTTTTCCCAATTGACTCTAGCTTAGGAGGCCGCCTCATACACCTTTAAAGCGTTTGAGAGAACCTTAACATCCTCACCCCCGTAATAAAAACTGTCACGTCATCTGCATACGCAGACAGTGCTATCGTGGGACCCTTCATAACCCCTGGCACAGAGAAACCAGTAAGCCTCGCTCTTAGAAAACAAAGCATTGGTTCAATTGCCAGACAATATAACTGTCCTGAAATTGGGCATCCCTGCCTGGTACCCCTTTGGACGGGGACGAGGAAGCTCAAACCACCCCCCACCTTCACCAGACATGAGGCCCCAACATACAGTAAACTCATCCAAGACAAAACAAACATCCCCAAACCCAAAGGCTTTCATTGTTTTGAACAAGTACTGGTGGTCCACGCGGTCAAAAGCCTTCTCCTGATCCAAAGAAAGCAAACCCACATTCACATCTGACAGTTTAGAAATGTCTAAAACATCTCTTATTATAAAGAAGTTATCAACAATAGAGCGGTCAGGTACACAGTAAGACTGGTCCTTGTGGACCAACAGCCCCAGATATTCTTTCAACCTGTTTGAGAGACACTTAGATATCATTGTATATTCTGCACACAGCAGTGCAACAGGTCTCCAGTTTTTTAAAAGAGCCAAATCCCCCTTTTTTGGCAACAATGAATGCACAGCACGTTGACAGGATACAGGAAGAGAACCCTCATGAAAAGATTCACACACAACTTAATACAAATCCCCCCCCAATAGACCACCAAAAGTGCTTATAGAAATCAGATGGTAAACCACCGATGCCAGGGGCTCGGCCTGATGAGAGCTGCATAACTGTAGTGGACAGCTCCTGCAGAGTAATGTCAGAGTCCTGAGCATCTCTCTGCTCAGTGCCCAATTGAGGAAGTCCATGTAACAACTGTTCAGCACACAGAGGATCACAATCCTCCGCCTTATAGAGGGCAGAGTTAGAAGTCCACGGCATGTTGGCGCATCTCACCGTCATCCGTGGTCACCTTCCCATAAAGGAGACGAAGGCAGACCGTCTGTTTGCGTTGCGATGTCGACTGCCCCAGGTTTTTAAAAAAGCACTAGGAGCATCCATATCCTTGAGGGTAGCAAAGCGAGACCTAATCCAGGCACCCTTCACTCTTTCATGTAAAAACAACCTCAGTTCATGTCTCTTGTCCTGTAAATTCATGACTAGTCCGGGGTCATTCTGAGTGAGCAACTTCAATTCAATAGATTTGATGTCCTGTTGACAAAACACACGTACAGTTGAAGTCGGAAGTTTACATACACCTTAGCCAAATAATTTGAAATCAGTTTTTCACAATTCCTGACATTTAATCCTAGTAAAAATTCCCTCTCTTAGGTCAGTTAGGATCACCACTTTATTTTAAGAATGTGAAATGTCAGAATAATAGTAGAGAGAATGATTTATTTCAGCTTTTATTTATTTCATCACATTCCCAGTGGGTCAGAATTTTACATACACTCAGTATTTGGTAGCGTTGCCTTTAAATTGTTTAACTTGGGTAAAAAAAAACTACAACGCTGTTAATTCGGCATCTCTGAGGTTTCGGTCCGTCTTGCTGTCTATCTGTCCATCAGATAGACAGATAGACAGGGTAGCCTTCCACAAGCTTCCCACAATAAGTTGGGTGAATTTTGGCCCATTCCTCCTGACAGAGCTGGTGTAACTGAGTCAGGTTTGTAGGCCTCCTTGCTCGCATTCGCTTTTTCAGTTCTGCCCACACATTTTCTATAGGTTTGAGGTCAGGACTTTGTGATGGCCACTCCAATACCTTGACTTTGTTGTCCTTAAGCCATTTTACCACGACTTTGGAAGTATGCTTGTGGTCATTGTCCATTTGGAAGACCCATTTTCGACCAAGCTTTAACTTCTTGACTGATGTCTTGAGATGTTGCTTCAATATGTCCACATACTTTTCCTTCCTCATGATGCCATCTATTTGTGAAGTACACCAGTCCCTCCTGCAGCAAAGCACCCCCACAACATGATGCTGCCACCCCCGTGCTTCACGGTTGGGATGGTGTTCTTTGGCTTGCAAGCAACCCCCTTTTTCCTCCAAACATAACGATGGTCATTATGGCCAAACAGTTCTCCAAAAAGTACGATCTTTCTCCCCATGTGCAGTTGTAAAGTCGCTCTCTCTCTCCCGCTACTCTCTCCTCTTCCATCCTATCATCTCTTCCCTCTGCTCAATCCTTCTCCCTCCAATCTCCTGATTCTGCCTCCTCAACCCTCCTCTCCTCCCTTTCTGCATCCTTTGACTCTCTATGTCCCCTATCCTCCCGGCCGGCTCGGTCCTCCCCTCCTGCTCCGTGGCTTGACGACTCATTGCGAACTCACATAACAGGGCTCCGGGCAGCCGAGCGGAAATGCAGGAAAACTAGACTCCCTGTGGACCTGGCATCTTTTCACTCCCTCCTCTCTACATTTTGTTCCTCTGTTTCTGCTGCTAAAGCCACTTTCTACCACTCTAAATTCCAAGCATCTGCCTCTAACCCTAGGAAGCTCTTTGCCACCTTCTCCTCCCTGCTGAATCCCCCCCCCCCTCTCGCCATCATGGTTGACAACTCCGTTGTGTCCTCCTCCCAGAGTGCAAAGAGCCTTGGCGTGACCCTGGACAACACCCTGTCATTCTCCGCTAACATCAAGGCGGTGACCCAATCCTGTAGGTTCATGCTCTACAACATTCGCAGAGTACGACCCCGCCTTACACAGGAAGCGGCACAGGTCCTAATCCAGGCACTTGTCATCTCCCGTCTGGATTACTGCAACTCGCCGTTGGCTGGGCTCCCTGCCTGTGCCATTAAACCCCTACAACTCATCCAGAACGCCGCAGCCCGTCTGGTGTTCAACCTTCCCAAGTTCTCTCACGTCACCCCGCTCCTCCGCACACTCCACTGGCTTCCAGTTGAAGCTCGCATCTGCTACAAGACCATGGTGCTTGCCTACGGAGCTGTGAGGGGAACAGCACCTCTGTACCTTCAGGCTCTGATCAGTCCCTACACCCAAACGAGGGCATTGCGTTCATCCACCTCTGGCCTGCTGGCCCCCCTACCTCTGCAGAAGCACAGTTCCCGCTCAGCCCAGTCAAAATTGTTCGCTGCTCTGGCACCCCAATAGTGGAACAAGCTCCCTCACGACGCCAGGACAGCGGAGTCACTCACCACCTTCTGGAGACACTTGAAACCCCACCTCTTTAAGGAATACCTGGGATAGGATAAAGTAATCCTTCTACCACCCCTTTTTTAAAATTTTTTAAAAATAAATAATTGTAAAGTGGTTATCATAAGGTGAATGAACCAATTTGTAAGTCGCTCTGGATAAGAGCGTCTGCTAAATGACGTCAATGTAAATGTAAACCGTAGTCTGGCTTTTTTATGGGCGGTTTTGGAGCAGGTTTTGATTTGTACTTTTCACACCAAAGTACGTTCATCTCTAGGAGACAGAACGCGTCTCCTTCCTGAGCAGTATGATGGCTGCGTGGTCCCATGGTGTTTATACTTGCGTACTATTGTTTGTACAGATGAACGTGGTACCTTCAGGCGTTTGGAAATTGCTCCCAAGGATGAACCAGACAGACCAGAGTTTGAAGGTAGGCCTTGAAATACATCCACAGGTACACCTCCAATTGACTCAAATGATGTCAATTAGCCTATCAATTAGCCTATCTAAAGCCATGAAATTATTTTCTGGAATTTGTCCAAGCTGTTTAAAGGCACAGTCAACTTAGTGTATGTAAACTTCTGACCCACTGGAATTGTGATACAGTGAATTATAAGTGAAATAATCTGTCTGTAAACAATTGTTGGAAAAAGTACTTGTGTCATGCACAAAGTAGATGTAAATAATAATAATAATAAATAAATAATATGCCATTTAGCAGACGCTTTTATCCAAAGCGACTTACAGTCATGCGTGCATACATTTTTTTTTGTGTATGAGTGGTCCCGGGGATCGAACCCACTACCTTGGCGTTACAAGCGCCGTGCTCTACCAGCTGAGCTACAGAGGACCACAGATGTCCTAACCGACTTGCCAAAACTATAGTTTGTTAACAAGAAATTTGTGGAGTGGTTGAAAAATGAGTTTTAATGACTCCAACCTAAGTGTATGTAAACTTCCGACTTCAACTGTATGTAGGCCTTCCCAACCTCCCACTATTGTCTCAAGTACTCAAAATTCAATTTAATAACCCTCCATTTTTCCCAAAACAACAATAACTTTTCACAAAACATGACATCATGTAATAACTTAACATTAAAATACCAATAAGGTGATGACCTTCGTGGACAGGACAAGTGAATAGCAACAGTCACAATATGATGATCAGGAAAACACACCCTACCACAGTAGTGCTCAGATACATACAACCTGTCTAACCTTGCTGCACTGATATGACCTTCATTAACATTTAGCCATGTGTACACTACCGGTCAAAATGTTTTGAAACACCTACTCATTCAAGGGTTTTTCTTTATTTGTACTATTTTCTACATTGTAGAATAATAGTGAAGACATCAACACTATGAAATAACACATATGGAATCATGTAGTAACCAAAAAAGTGTTAAACAAATCAAAATGTATTTTATATTTGAGATTCTTCAAATAGCCACCCTTTGCCTTGATGACAGCTTTGCACACTCTTGACATTCTCTAAACCAGCTTCATGAGGTAGTCACCTGGAATGCATTTCAATTAACAGGTGTGCTTTCTTAAAAGTTAATTTGTGGAATTTATTTCCTTCTTAATACGTTTGAGCCAATCAGTTGTGTTGTGACAAGGTAGGGGGGGGGGGGGTATACAGAAGAGAGCCCTACTTGGTAAAAGACCAAGTCCATATTATGTCAAGAACAGCTCAAATAAGCAAAGAGAAACGACAGTCCATCATTACTTTAAGACATGAAGGTCAGCAATATGGAACATTAAGAACTTTGAAAGTTCTTCAAGTGCAGTCACAAAAACCATCAAGCGCTATGATGAAACTGGCGCTCATGAGGACCGCCACAGGAATGGAAGACCCAGAGTTACCTCTGCTGCAGAGGATAAGTTCATTAGAGTTACCAGCCTCAGAAATTACAGCCCAAATAAATGCTTCACAGAGTTCAAGTAACAGACACATCTCAACATCAACTGTTCAGAGGAGACTGTGTGAATCAGGCCTTCATGGTCGATTGCTGCAAAGAAACCACTACTAAAGGACACCAATAAGAAGAAGAGACCTGCTTGAGCCAAGAAACACGAGCAATGGACATTAGACCGGTGGAAATGTATCATTTGGTCTGGAGTCCAAATTGGAGATTTTTGGTTCCAACCGCCGTGTCTTTGTGAGACGCGGTGTGGGTGAACGGATGATCTTCGCATGTGTATTTCCCACCGTAAAGCATGGAAGAGGTGGTGTTATGGTGTTGGGGTGCTTTGCTGGTGACACGGTCTGTGATTTACTTAGAATTCAAGGCACACTTAACCAGCATGGCTACCACAACATTCTGTAGCGATATGCCATCCCATCTGGTTTTGGCTTAGTGGATATATTTGTTTTCACAGACATGCCCAACACACCCCAGGCGTGTAAGGCATTTTCCAGAAGGTATTGAGTCTCATCAGTGAGGCCCACATCCCCTGACCTCACCAAATTGTCAGGGTGCTAGGTGGGTGGCAATCAAGCCAGGACGGAGCTCGTCCAAAGACTTTAGTGCAATATTCAGTAGAAATAACACATAGCCGAAGGAGGCACACAGGTCAAAAACGCGACTTGCGAAAACCTCTCCAAACCTGGAGGAGTACTATCCAACACGAAACAGAAGCAATCACCAAAAGACAACACACACACGAGAACTAATAGGACATAGAGACTAAAAGACACAGTTACAACATCAAGACAAACCAAACGACTGACTAGATCGTGGAGCTATCTCCGGGACACGACCAAGCCTCCCCAAGGGGATCACTCGCGAACTGACAAATGAGTGGTTTGGGATGAGTGGACCTCAGGAAAAGCAGCCAACAAGTGCTCAGCATATGTGGGAACTCCTTCAAGACTGTTGGAAAAGCATTCCAGGTGAAGCTGGTTGAGAGAATGCCAAGAGTGTGCAAAGCTCTGATCAAGGCAAAGGGTGGCTATTTGAAGAATCTCAAATCTCAAATATATTTTGATTTGTTTAACACTTTTTTGGTTACTACATGATTCAACGTGTTATTTCATAGTTTTTATGTCTTCACTATTATTCTACAATGTAGAAAATAGCAAAAATAAAGAAAAACCCTTGAATGAGTAGGTGTTCTAAAACTTTTGACCAGTAGTGTACTGCCTAACTTTTGCATTTCTTCCTCTCCACACATCAGAAAGTTAATAGACCAGACAGACAAGTAGCTGACCGCAGGTGAGGTTCTTCAGCAGTGCGATCAACAGTCAAATCCACTGTACAGTTCCAGTCCCCCCCCTAAAACCATACACCCCTCTTGGTCACACTGTCTTTTGGTTTCCTTTATTTGATCAAATACAGAAATACGCTCTGTACCCTCATTAGGAGCATAAACATTCCACAAAAGAAAAAAACATAACATCCGCCTTGACCAATAAAATCTGACCCTCCCTACATCAGTGGGCCCAGACGTTATGAGGACCACCAGCGTCCCGCCCTCCGCCTTCTCCCTTTCGGGCAAGCATGTCGCTTATGGCCAACATCCCCACACTCAAAACACTGTTGACTACCCGTACTAGCATAAGCCATATACAGTCTGTTATCATACTTGACTTTAAACGATAACTCCAAAGTCTGCTTCGGTGAGTCCAAAAACAAACATCTGTCGCCGAAACGACATAACCTGTTTCAGAGCCAGGTGTTTGCAACCCAACGGGGCAATCTTAATTGAACTTGCAAACTTCCCAAACTTGCAAACCGCAGTAACTCGCGCTCCAATAACTCGGTACTTTCGAAATTGTTACCCTTTTTGACAGAGAAAAAAGCGGCGTAACTTGAATAAACATACATTTAAGAAGCACGCCATGCTCAACCATCTGATCGACAAGACGCTCTTCTTTAAGAAAAACCACCACCGCTTTATTCATCCTCGACGCATAAGCAACATTTTCATAGCAATGTTAGGCCTACTGCTGCTAGGTAGCTCTCTCTCTGCTCTCCCCCTCCCCTCTGTCTGTCCTTGATTGCAGGAGTGAAGTCTGGTGTGCGGGAGTCAGGGTTCCAGCTGCAGCTCATTCACCATAATCACCTCAGCCTTAAAGACCCGGTCAAACTTGCCACTCATCGTCAGATCATAGTCAAGATGACCATGTTAGTTTCGCTGTTGACTCAACCTGCTTTTTTTCTGCCTTTGTGTTTTTGGCCCGTTCTAGTTACTTTTCTCCTGTGCCACAGATTATTGGAACCTGACTCCTGCCTCCGCTTCACTCCTGCCACCACCATCCTGCTTTCCACTACCGGACCTCCCTTTTGGACTCACCACGGACACTGGGACGTTACGGTACCACTCCTGCTCTGAACCTGGATCTGTTACCCTCCCTGTAAACCTGGACTTGCTCTTCCCCTATTATTGGAAACCTGGACAAATTGAACTTTGTAAATAAACCTGTTAAACCTTCTCTGGCTCGGTGTAGTTGTCTGCATTTGGGTTCAAATCCAGTTAAATCATGACAAGCAAGAAATACAATATACCTAATTCTATCACTAAAAAAATTATAATAACCTTAATCATGCATAGAAAAGGGAAAACCACCAAGAAAAGACAACACAGGCGATCTAACTCCAGACAACACTGGCACTCGCTCATACAATTCCCAGCATGCAGAGAGAGATGGTTTGTTTGTGTGTCAGTGAGAATAATGTAAGGTAATGTCTAGAATATATATGGCTGATTGTGAGTGACTGTATGGGTGTGTGGGAGTGAGCTTGATTAAGTCTTAATTAAGTATGTCTGTATGGGTGTGTGGGAGTGAGATTGATGGTCCTCTGTAGCTCAGCTGGTAGAGCACGGCGCTTGGAACGCCAAGGTAGTGGGTTCGATCCCCGGGACCACCCATACGTAAAAATGTATGCACACATGACTAAGTCGCTTTGGATAAAAGCGTCTGCTAAATGGCATATTATTATTATTATTATTATTAAGTCTTAATTAATTATGTCTGTATGGGTGTGCATGCCGGTGTGTGTGTTCATGTATATTTGTGTGTGTGAGTGAGGCAATGCCGTGCAGAGAAAGGCCAAGCCAGTCAGTTGATGGTTGGCTGGTCATGAAGAGGCAGAAGTCATTACCACTTCAGCAGCCCTCACACTTTAATTAGTGCCAGCTGCTACGAGACGAGCACACAACCCAAACTCACACTGAATCACTGTAAAAACAGTCATCCATAACCCTGTCCTGCTCAATCAAGTCTCCAAATAAATAAATAAAATAACACAATCCTGTCCTTTATATTCCCCAACAAGGCTCTGCCAAGCTCACACACAGCGCCCACTCTTCTCTCACTTCGCCAAACGGGAGTCAGTCTAATCATCAAGTCTGTGACGCAGACAAAACTCTCCTCACGAAAAAACCCTAAAATGGAGCGAGTCCATAAGCCAAGTTAACCCCACCTCATTACTACAGTAACTCTGTTTCAAATCCTTTCAGAACTCTTAATATGTCATCACACAGGGCCTTCAGAGGAACAGAAACATCCACAACACCTCATCTTAGTATCATCCTACTGAACCCAAAGTGCGGCCATTATTGTTTTTACACACACAGGTTGGTCCTACTCACCGAACACCAGCACGTCATACAACACGGTAGCGGCGCTCTCCGATCCGATGCCGTTGGCAGCGTGACACTCATACGTCCCCGAGTCACCCTCGCCCGCCGCGTCAATCAGCAGGTTGCTGAGCAGAAAGCGTGTGTTGTTATGGAAACGCAGGTCCTGGCCATCCTTGGCCCATGTGACCTGCGGGGTGGGAATGCCGCTGGCCACACATTCCAGAACCAGACGCTGTCCCTTAGTGACCATGATGGAGCGAGACACTGGGGGGTAGATGATACGGGCTGCCTCTGATGTCGACCCTAGAGGGAGGAAGGAGGGAGAGAGGGAGGGAGGGAGAGAGGGAGGGAGGGAGGGAGAGAGAGAGCGAGATGAGGAGGAGAGAGAGAGAGAAGGGATCGGGACGGGTGAGAGAAGGAAGGAAGGGGAGAGAGAGAGAAGGAAGGGGTGAGCGGGAACTGTGTTTAATCACTGGGTTATTTATCAATTAAGTCTGACTGGCCTTGTTCTCATCTTATTAAGAGGTATTTCAATGTTACAAATCACATCACTTTATCATGCTCATAATAAGGGTTTGGTCGTGTTTGGTCATGGTGACTCACGGCGTATGCGCAGCCGGTCAGTGGAGGTGGAGGTCTTGACCTCCTGTGTGACAGGGTTGTAGGCAGCACACTTGTAAGGCCCCTCGTCATCCAGAGTGGCATTGGCTATCTGCAGGTTCCCTGATGGCATGATCAGGTAGTTCCCTGTTGACACACAGACAGACAGGGGGAGATTTTTAGCATTGAGGCTGCACTGGGTGGGTACTGGGTAGTGGAAGGCCATGGCCATTACAACTGATCTGAGAGACAGTTCTGTGGCTGTAATCCTTGGGCATGGACAGGGAAAGCCATGTACAGAGCTCCAAAAGTATTGGGACAGTGGCATTTTTTGTTGTTGTTTTGGCTCTGTACTCCAGCACTTTGGATTTGAAATTATACAATGACTATGAGGTTAAAGTGCTGTCAGCTTCAATTTGAGGGTATTTTCATCCATATCAGGAGAACCGTTTAGAAATTCCAGCACCTTTTGAACATAGTCCACCCATTTAAGGGGACCAAAAGTATTGGGACAAATCCACTTATATGTGTATTAAAGTAGTAAAAAGTATTTGGTCCCATATTCATAGCACGCAATGACTGCATCAAGCTTGCGACTCTACAAGCTTGTTGGATGCATTTTCTGTTTGTTTTGGTTGTGTTTCAGATTATTTTGTGTCCTATAGAAATGAATGGTAAATAATGTATTGGGTCATTTTGGAGTCACTTTTATTGTAAATAAGAATAGAATAGGTAAACACTTCTACATTAATGTGGATGCTACCAAGGTTACGGATAATCCTGAATGAATCGTGAATAATGATGAGTTGTCATACCCCTCCCAAAAATGCTAACCTCCCCTGTTATTGTAATGGTGAGAGGTTAGCATGTCTTGGGGGTATGATATTTGTGCGTCTAACTTTCTCACTCATCATTATTCACGATTCATTCAGGATTATCCGTAACCTTGGTAGCATCCACATTAATGTAGAAGTGTTTAGAAACATATTATATTCTTATTTAGAATAAAAGTGACGCCAAAATAATAGTAACTTGAGTAACCTGAGCAGGCTTAACCATTAAAGCTGGGACCGAGAGACTGAAAAACAGCTTCTACCTCCAGGCCATCAGACTGTTAAATAGCCATTACTATCCGGCCTCCACCCAGAACCCTGCCCTGAACTTAGTCACTGTCACTAGCCGCCTACCACCTGGTTACTCATCCCTGCACCTTAGAGGCTGCTGCCCTATGTACATAGACATGGAACACTGGTCACTTTAATAATGGAACACTGGTCACTTTAATAATGGAACACTGGCCACTTTAATAATGGAACACTGGTCACTTTAATAATGGAACACTGGTCACTTTAATAATGTTTACTTACTGTTGTACCCATTTCATATGTACTGTATTCCAGTCATGGCCATCCTATTCAACTATTGCTGGACATATACTATTCTATCCACGTGTTCTACAGATATACTACATATTCTATCCACATACAGTCCACAATGTCTATACATACCATCACATATATACACTACATGACCAAAGGTATGTGGACACCTGCTCGTCGAACATCTCATTCCAAAATCATGGGCATTAATATGGAATTGGTATCCCCCCTTTGCTGCTATAACAGCCCCTACTCTTCTGGGAAGGCTTTCCACTAGATGTTGCTGCGGGGAATTGCTTCCATTCAGCCACAAGAGCATTAGTGAGGTCGGGCACTGATGGTGGGCGAGTAGGCCTGGCTCGCAGTCGTCGTTCCAATTCATCCCAAAGGTGTTCGATGGGGTTGAGCTCAGGGCTCTGTGCAGGCCAGTCAAGTTCTTCCACACCGATCTCGACAAACCATTTCTTTATGGACCTCGCTTTGTGCACAGGGGCATTGTCAAGGTGAAACAGGAAAGGGCCTTCCCCAAACTGTAGCCTCAAAGTTGGAAGCACAGAATCGTCTAGTATGTCATTGTATGCTGTAGCGTTATGATCTCCCTTCACTGGAGCTAAGGGGCCTAGCCCGTACCATGAAAAACAGCCCCAGACCATTATCCCTCCTCCACCAAACTTTACAATTGGCACTATGCATTGGGGCAGGTAGCATTCTCCTGGCATCCGCCAAACCCAGATTTGTCCGTCTGACTGCCAGATGGTGAAGCGTGATTCATCACTCCAGAGAATGCGTTTCCACTGCTCCAGAGTCCAATGGTGGCGAGCTTTACACCACTCCAGCCGACGCTTGGCATTGCGCATGGTGATCTTAAGCTTGTGTGCGGCTGCTTGGCCATGGAAACCCATTTCATGAAGCTCTCGACAAACAGTTATTGTGCTGACGTGCTTCCAGAGGCAGTTTGGTACTCGGTAGTGAGTGTTGCAACCGAGGACAGACGATTTCGCTTCAGCACTCGACAGTCCCGTTCTGTGAGCTTGTGTGGCCTACCACTTCGCGGCTGAGCCGTTGTTACTCCTAGACATTCCACTTCACAATAACAGCACTTACAGTTGACCGGGGCAGCTCTAGCACGGCAGAAATTTGACGAACTGACTTGTTGGAAAGGTGGCATCCTATGACGGCGCCACGTTGAAATTCACTGAGCTCTTCAGTAAGGCCATTCTACTGCCAATGTTTGTCTATGGAGATTGCATGTCAGTGTGCTCGATTTTATACACCTGTCAGCAACGGGTGTGGCTGAAATAGCAGAATCCACTAATTTGAAGGGGTGTCCACATACTTTTGTATATACACTACCGTTCAAAAGTTTGGGGTCCTTGTTTTCGAAAGAAATGTCCTTGTTTTCGAAAGAAAAGCAATTGATCAGACATACAGTGTAGACATTGTTAATGTTGTAAATGGCTATTGTAGCTGGAAACTGCAGATTTTTTATGGAATATCTACATATTACAGAGGCCCATTATCAGCAACCATCAGTCCTGTGTTCCAATGGCACGTTGTGTTTGTTAATCCAAGTTTATCATTTTAAAAGGCTAATTGATCATTAGAAAACCCTTTTGCAATTATGTTAGCACAGCTGAACACTGTTGTGCTGATTAAAGAGGCAGTAAAACTGGCCTTCTTGAGACTAGTTGAGTATCTGGAGGATCAGCAATTGTGGGTTTGATTACAGGCTCAAAATGACTAGAAACAAAGAACAAAGAGTGTGCAAAGCTGTCATCAAGGCAAAGGGTGGCTATTTAAAGAATCTCAAATATGAAATATATTTTGATTTGTTTAACACTTTTTTGGTTACTACATGATTCCATATGTGTTATTTCATAGTTTATTTATTCTACAATGTAAAAAATAAAGAAAAACCCTTGAATGAGTAGGTGTGTCCAAACTTTTGACTGGTACTGTATATATATATATTTATACTTCGGACTCCGAAATTGCTCATACTAATATTTATATATTTCTTAATTCCATTCTTTTACTTTTAGATTTGTGTGTATTGTAGTGAATTGTTAAATACTACTGCACTGTTGGAGCTAGGAACACAAGCATTTCGCTACACCCGCAATAACATTTTGTTTTTGGATTTGATTTGATTTAGGCCTACAGCAGTCTCTTTCAACAACAGAGTGCACTGTCAGCACCAGCCACATGGTGGCATCCTGGTGTCTCACTGAGAGCCAGCCAGTGAACTCTCCTCAACGTGGTTTTCATTTCCCTCTCTCTCTGACAAGCCACACATCCCTTCCTACTGCTCCCAGCCATCAACATATCAGCCACAGAGAGGGCCTTTTTTTCTCAAAGAACTCAAGAAATAAATGGTTGCAAAATAAACAAGAGTATTCCCATGTTTCAACATTCCCCAGTTAACTGCCTTATCTGCAGTTTTATGATGGGCCAGATAGCTGGGATAGATACAGCATTCCAGTAATCCAGGGAAAGAGATAGTGAAAGAGAGAGAGAGAGAGAGAGAGGGAAAGTACTAATGAGAAGAACAGAGAGAGATAAAGAGAGGAGGAGCGAAAGAGAGAGAGAAAGTACTAATGACAATAGAGTGACCGTACAAGGAGAGAGATTGCTTGAGGGAGAAAGAGAGAGAGGAAGTGAGAGAGGGATAGAATGCAAACTAGAGAAGGAAAGAGAATAGGCCTGTAACAGAATGATAGATCCATACCTTTGGAGGTCTCGAGCCACTCCTGTTTGACACTGTAGCGGACCTGGGCCTTGGGCTGGCTCTCAGGGAGGTGACACACGATCACAGCCGTGTTCCCCTCATCCACCTCAATGTCCTGCTGGTCGTCTTGTTCAAAGTCACGCAGCTCTGAGATACAGGGAGGACGAGACAGAGGTCAGGAGAGACACTACCACACACAGAGACAGAGGACAGGAGAGACACTACCACACACAGAGACAGAGGACAGGAGAGACACTACCACACACAGAGACAGAGGACAGGAGAGACACTACCACACACAGAGACAGAGGACAGGAGAGACACTACCACACACAGAGACAGAGGACAGGAGAGACACTATCACACACAGAGACAGAGGTCAGGAGAGACACTACCACACACAGAGACAGAGGACAGGAGAGACACTATCACACACAGGACAGAGGTCAGGAGAGACACTACCACACACAGAGACAGAGGACAGGAGAGACACTACCACACACAGAGACAGAGGTCAGGAGAGACACTACCACACACAGAGACAGAGGACAGGAGAGACACTACCACACACAGAGACAGAGGTCAGGAGAGACACTACCACACACAGAGACAGAGGACAGGAGAGACACTACCACACACAGAGACAGAGGTCAGGAGAGACACTACCACACACAGAGACAGAGGACAGGAGAGACACTACCACACACAGAGACAGAGGACAGGAGAGACACTACTACACACAGAGACAAATAAACATGTCCCAGCATTGAGCAGCTCCAACCATGTCAGAGCACCACAGAAGCTCTCCCATAAACACAATTGCGGAATATACACACATTTGCTTCCTCAACCCAGCCAGCCTGTGTAATTGCTCCAGTCTGTAGTCCATCAATCTGGAGCAGTATGACTGCACAATAACTATAGAATGGGAAGATGGGAACTACTAAAATGGACATTCCAATTCAAGGCAATAATCTATAACACTACAAATGGACCAGTTCGGTGGCCATATTGGGCTGTACCATTCTAGACTGTTTGATTAATTCTACTTCTATGAATAGAGCAGGGTGTATGTCAGAGCAGAGCTGAGCAGCGGGCTGACTGTGGGACAGAGACAGAGGGCCTGCCTGGTTAGTGGTTGGTTACTGTGGGAAACTGGAGAGGGATTACTGGAGGGCCATGTGCTCCCACTCTGTCCCGCAGACACACAGTCTGCACAGCACAGACACTGGGCTGACCCCTAACCCCTCACCCCCCTCAGAGGGGGCCGCAGGGGCTGGACCAGAGGTCAGAGGTGAGAGGTGGCCTGCCTCTAGAGTTTCAGGGAAAGAACAACCAGTTTGGATTGGGAGGAAATAGCACTGCTAGACTTTAGAACACTGATGTCTGAGTGGGGGAGTAGAGTGGAGAATATTTAAGTGTTGGGGGAGAGAGAGAGAAGGGGGGAAGAGAGAGAGGGGGGGGGGGGTGAGAGAGAGAAAGAGAGAGACATATGAGGGAGAGAAAGAAAGAAAACAGTTTAATAGGGAGTGGGAGAAAAATAGAGAAGTCTAAAGATGGAGGGGGGAAAGGGGGAACATTCAACATAACAAATGATCAGAGCTGTAGTGTATGCTAGAGGCAGTCCAGCGGTGAAATTAAACAAAAATACAACCCCCTAACCTAATTAAATGTCCACCAGTCTCTGTTGATTTATTCTGTTTCACAAAGATGGCGGCGCTCCATTATTTTCAGAGGTGCACGGCTGGTTGTTATTCTTGGACCGCTCAACTCTTTGGCAAAACAGAAGTAACAAAGCCACTCATACACAGTGAACCGACTAGACAACCAGATTCTGTTGAATACACTTCAATGTAGATGAACACAGCTTAGTTAAGGCCACAGTTAAGGCATCTACTGATATAAACACAATAGTGATTCACTTTAGATGCTGAGCATACACCTTTAACGTGGGTGACTGAGAATGCATGATTTTTTCATGTCTGATCTATTCCCCGTGCAGGCAGTGTGTGTGTGCTTGTGGCTTTCTGTGGGAAGTTTAAATAGGAGAGGGGAGCTACAGGGGTTGGCCTTGACAGGTGTGCCCCCCCCCCCCCCCCCCACCTCCACTCGACCCCCTTCCAACCCCTATTCCAAGAGGGATGAGAAGCACAGAACCTGTCATGCTGAGTAGTGTGTGTGTGTGTGTGTGTGTGTGTGTGTGTGTGTATGTGTGTGTGTGTGTGTGTGTGTGTGTGTCTGTGTGTCTGTGTGTGTCTGGGTGTCTGTGTGTGTGTGTCTGTGTGTCTCTGTGTGTGTGTGTGTGTGTCTGGACAGGGGTGGTGTCTAAAAGAGAGATTGTGTGATGCTCCATTTGCTAAATCAATCAGGCCCTGTTTTTACAGCTACCCCCCTTCTCCTCCCTCCTCCCCCTAACCTCTACTAAATTCCTCCAACTACACCTTTAACCCCTACTCCCCACACCTATCCCTGCATTCTTCCACTGACCTGCCCTGTGTTTGTCTCTCAGGTGAGTGACTGAAAGACAAAAGACAAAGACTGTGTAAGTGACAGAGTATATGAATAACTGTAGAACAACTATATAGGAATAAATATAGACCAACTATATAGGAATAACTGTAGAACAACTATATAGGAATAACTGTAGAACTATATAGGAATAACTGTAGAACAACTGTTTATGAATAACTGTTGAACAACTATATAGGAATAACTGTAGAACAACTGTTTATGAATAACTGTTGAGCAACTATATAGGAATAACTGTAGAACAACTGTTTATGAATAACTGTTGAACAACTGTTTATGAATAACTGTAGAACAACTGTTTATGAATAACTGTAGAACAACTGTTTATGAATAACTGTAGAACAACTGGTTATGAATAAATGTTGAACAACTGGTTATTAATAAATGTTGAACTGTTTATGAATAACTGTAGAACAACTGGTTATGAATAAATGTTGAACAACTGGTTATTAATAAATGTTGAACTGTTTATGAATAACTGTTGAAAAACTGTTTATGAATAACTGTAGAACAACTGTTTATGAATAACTGTAGAACAACTGTTTATGAATAACTGTTGAACAACTGTTTATGAATATCTGTTGAACTGTTTATGAATAACTGTAGAACAACTGTTTATAAATAACTGTTGAAAAACTGTTTATGAATAACTGTAGAACAACTGTTTATGAATAACTGTAGAACAACTGTTTATGAATAACTGTAGAACAACTGTTTATTAATAACTGTAGAACAACTGTTTATGAATAACTGTAGAACAACTGTTTATGAATAACTGTAGAACAACTGTTTATGAATAACTGTAGAACAACTGTTTATGAATAACTGTAGAACAACTGTTTATGAATAACTGTTGAACAACTGTTTATGAATAACTGTAGAACAACTGTTTATGAATAACTGTAGAACAACTGTTTATGAATAACTGTAGAACAACTGGTTATGAATAAATGTTGAACAACTGTTTATGAATAACTGTAGAACAACTGTTTATGAATAACTGTAGAACAACTGTTTATGAATAACTGTAGAACAACTGGTTATGAATAAATGTTGAACAACTGTTTATGAATAACTGTAGAACAACTGTTTATGAATAACGTGTGTTAGCGCTCAGTACATTCAGAGCATTGTTTATGAATGTATGGAGTATTTGTGTATGTGTGTGTGTGTGTGTGTGTGTATGGAGTATGTGTGTATGGAATATGTGTGTATGTGTGTGTGTGTATAGAGTGTGTGTGTATGGAGTGTGAATTACATGAATTGGTGTGTATGGGTTCCTGTTTGGGTGTGTTTATGTGTCTGTATGTAAGTACTCCTCCTGCACATGTATGCAAGTCTGTGTGTGTTCCCACTAGCATGTGTATGTATGCTGCTGTCCCTGTGTGAGTGGGATGCTGGACTAGCATGATTGATGGTATTTATAAAGTGGAGCTGACCTCTGACCTCTAAATACTTTAAGACAGACTCCACATCCATCATCTTTATGTGCAGAGGTAGGGGGCAGTAGGAACACTGTGTGTGTGTGTGTGTGTGTGTGTGTGTGTGTGTGTGTGTGTGTGTGTGTGTGTGTTGACAAGAATAGTTTAAAAAAAAATGTTGGTCCCCACAATGTCAAATGCTATTTGTAGGGGTTTTAGGGTTAAGGTTAGAATTCGTGTTAGGGTTAAAATTAGGTTTAGGGTTAGGAGCTACGGTTAGTTTTAGGGTTAGGGTTAGGAGCTAGGGTTAGGTTTTAAGGTTAAGGTTAGGGTAAGGGTACGGGTTAGGGAAAATAGGATTTTGAATGGGACTGAATTGTGTGTCCCCACAAGGTTAGTTGTGCAAGACTGTGTGTGTGTGTTACTGTTACAGACATTAATGACGTTTATGTATGCATGTTTTTACCAGTGTGTGTTTTTTTTAGCATGTATTTTACAGTGTGTGTATTGTATAGATATATACTCTGTGTTCTGGGGGCCTCTCCATCTGTCTGTCTGTTAGGGGGAGGTTGGTTGTCCACAAAGGAATTCAAGCAAGGAGTTTTAAATAATGTTAAAACAGCTTGGTCCCAGTGGGAGAGAGCGCAGAAAGATTCTTCAGAGTTAGATAACAGGGAGGGGGAGCAGGGAAGCCAGGGCGTGTTGGGGGGGGGGGAGCCAGGAGGATGGAGCCAGGAGACAATGTTTCCCTCCCTACACATATGCAGAAATACACACACACAAACAGTGCATACACACAGATAAACATTCATGCACACACACACACACACACACACACACACACACACACACACACACACACACACACACACACTCTCCCTGAGGATCTATTCCTCTACAGTCTACACATTCTCCCTGAGGATCTATTACTCTACAGTCTACACACTCTCCCTGAGGATCTATTACTCTACAGTCTACACACTCTCCCTGAGGATTTATTACTCTACAGTCTACACACTCTCCCTGATGATCTATTACTCTACAGTCTACACACTCTCCCTGAGGATCTATTTCTCTACAGTCTACACACTCTCCCTGATGATCTATTACTCTACAGTCTACACACTCTCCCTGAGGATCTATTTCTCTACAGTCTACACACTCTCCCTGATGATCTATTACTCTACAGTCTACACACTCTCCCTGAGGATCTATTACTCTACACTCTACACACTCTCCCTGAGGATCTATTACTCTACAGTCTACACACTCTCCCTGAGGATCTATTACTCTACACTCTACACACTCTCCCTGAGGATCTATTACTCTACAGTCTACACACTCTCCCTGAGGATTTATTACTCTACAGTCTACACACACTCCCTGAGGATTTATTACTTGGGTTGGTGGAGGTACTGAGAGAGAGGGGCTTTATCCAATTAGAAAGGCCTTGAGGCTGGGGGGGTCGGGGAGCTCCATATGAACATACATCCCTATGTTATGCCTCATACCATATACACTGAGCGTACAAAACATTAGGAACACCTTCCTAATATTGAGTTGCACCCCCCTTCCGTTTGCCCTCAGAACAGCCTCAATTCGTCTGGGCATCGACTCTACAAGGTATTGAAAGCGTTCCACAGCGAGGCTGGCCGATGTTGACTCCAATGCTTCCCACAGTTGTGTCAAGGTGGCTGGATGTCATTTGGGTGGTGGACCATTCTTGATACACATGGGAAACTTGAGCATGAAAAACCCAGCAGCGTTGCAGTTCTTGACACACTCAAACCGGTGCGCCTGGCACCTACTACCATACCCCGCTCAAAGGCACTTAACTCTCGTCTTGCCCATTCACCCTCTGAATGGCACACATACACAATCCATGTCTCAATTGTCTCAAGACTTAAAAATCCTTCTTCAACCTGTCTCCTCCCCTTCATCTACACTGATTTGAAGTGGATTTAACAAGTGACATCAATAAGGGATCATAGCTTTCACCTGGATTCACCTGGTCAGTCTATGTCATGGAAAGAGCATAATGTTCATAATGTTTTGTACACTCAGTGTACATTTATCAATTACATCTAATGCTGCATGGAGGAAGTTTGAGCACACACACACACGCACACACACACTGACTGATACACACAGAGACACAAACACTCCTGACACCCAACACTCAGCAGGAATGACAGAGAAAAAAAGAAAGTAACAGAGGGAACGAGAGAGTGGGGTAGTGAGAGAGAATTAGGGGGGGGAAGAGATAAATAATGATAGTGGGGGAATAGGAATTAGAGGGAGGGAATGAGAGCATGAACGGGGTAAGAGGGAGATGAAGGGGGAATAGAGAGAGTGCATGTGAAAGAGATTAGAATAGATAGGTGGAAGAGATCGAAGTAGAGGGTTGAACGGAGGCCATAAGTGTGGGAATAAGAGAATGATAGGGGTAGTATCTCAATGTAGTGGTAGAGATGAACTGAGAGGGTGTAAGATGAGCCTGAGAGGTGAAAGAGAATGAGAGGGGGGCGAGATCATGCCCGGTTGTACGAGAGGAGCCTGTAGACTGGGGGATGGAGAGAATGACGGGGTGAAGAGATAGGAATTCGAGGGGGAGTAGAGAGACATTAAGATTTGGAAGGCAGGCTCGAGCATGAGAGGGAAGAGATAGACTTAGCCGTGGGGTATAGAGTCGATGAGAGGGTGGGCGAGAGCGCAGAGAGAGATATCTAGAGAGAGAGAGAGTATAGATGAGATATCACTAGAGAGCGTCGAGATAGAGCAGATCGAGAAGCTAGATAGATCGGAGATGTGAGGAGGTGGAGAGGGAACTGTGAACTCACCTCAACCCTCATCTTGTGAGGGGATCCTGTCTCAACTTGCCTAAAACACCTCCTGTTTTCCAACACATCTCCAACCTTCCAGATCTATTAGAACACTATACTACACCCCACTCGTCTATAATACCTGTTCACCGTCATACACTCACAACAACTCCACTTATCAAAACACCATATCCAACCCGTGGCAAAACAATCTACCCACTCGACATCTCCGTTTTACGAACAGCAAATTTCCCCCTAACACGCAACCTCAACACATGTCTACCACAAACCTCACACGAGGAATGTCTAACACACGACCCTGCACGCAGTGTCTGAGACACACACCTCAGAATCACAGTGTCTAACACACAACCTCACCACAGTTCCTAACACACCACCTCACACAACATGCACAATGCCTAACATCCAACCTCACAAAGATCTAACACACAACCTCACAAAGGCTTACACACACCTCACAAACATTACCTATCTATTCCTCTATGTCCATTATTCTTTCTCTTTCTATTTTCTTGCCTCTCCTCTCTCTCTCTCTCTCTCTCTCTCTCTCTCTTCCTCCTCTCTCATCTCTCTCTCTCTCTCTCTCTCTCTCTCTCCACTGTCCGTCCGCTTCTTTTCTACTGCTTTCTTCGTATCTCCCTCTCACGCGACGACACACTACAGACCTCGACATCCTATATCTTCCCCCTGGCAACAATAAAATCAGCCCTCTCCCCTAACTA